GCACCCTTGCACGTGCAGAAATGCGTGTTTCTGACAGCTGGATCTAACAGTGCCTTCCGTTTCTTCCTGATGCCTCCCAGGGTCTAGCACAAGGCCTCAGACATAGTGGCTACACTCAGCAGATCTTGTCCTGTGGCTTTCCTTGGACAAGGGAAGCACACATACTCCCTGCCCTTGAGTAGCTTCCAGCCACAGGTACACATAACCAACATACAAACTGGTTGTCATAAATCTGTAAGAGGACAAGACTCGGTCCAAAGAGAGGGTTATGAAATGTCAAAGGAGAAAAATATTGTTGCCACGAGAGGACCCTGAGATTTCTTGTACGATGGGGAGGGGTTTGGAGTGGAGGTAGACTCTAAACTAGGTTTTGAAGTGTATGCAACACTTTGAACCTATGGAGGGTTTAGAGGCAAAGGGAGCAATGTGAGCAAAGGAAGAAGTGTGTGTGTGTGTGCACACACTGTCTTTACTTTATGGTGCAGAGGGGAGTAGGCCGGCCTAGGTCTGATTGCTCGATACCTAACTTACTGACTCAAATACCACGCCGTATGATAGCATGCTCTGTGAGGCTAGAGTCCCAATTTCCGGCCCCAGCTCTGTGCTTACTAAGCTGTGTGAACGTCAACAAGTCCCTCCCCTTCTTTGGGCCCCAGTGTTCTCATTTGTATGATGAAGGCCACAGGATTTCCAAGGGCCCTGTAGCTTGGATACCTGACATCATTTTTTCCATTATGTTTTTAATTAGTCCCTCTTGCCCTCCTGGTCCCAGACCTCCTGTGAAGAGACAGGACACAGGGCTCTCCCCTAATCTGTCCTTTTCCTGGAGGTCAGTCTCTGACCAGGAAGTGGGAAAGCAGGATTTCCTCTGAGGATGTTCTCTGTGACCCAGACAGTTCCGGTTTAAGAAGCAGAGAGGAGATAAAGAACGTCACCCTGGCTTCCAAACCCTAAAGCCCCTTTCTGTGGGTTTGATGTTTTCTTCATGCCAGACTTTGAACTCCTTAAAAGCAGGGAATGTGTAATTCAGAGCTGGAAAAAGACATGTTGGTATCCCTTCAAACAGCTATTTTAACATTTCAGTGGGGAAAACTGAATTATCTTTTTCTTTTTAAATAGTGAAATGCATTAGGCATTATAAAAAGTAGGAAAATCTTTTCCTCATCTATACCTGTGGAAATCCTTCAAGGCCCAACTCCAATGATCCTTTACAGAAGCCTTTCCCTCCTCTGGAATTGCAAAACACTCTTCACACCGTTTCTGAATCATTGTTCACACAGTTACAATATGTCAGATGTGGCTAACCCTTTTCCCTAAAAAATCGGGACACTATCCCTGATTGGTGTGGCCCAGTGGGTTGGGCATGGTCCCACAAACCAAAAATTCAGTTTCAATTCCTGGTCAGGGCACATGCTTGGGGTGCAGGCCGAGTCCCCAGTTGGGGGCATGCAAAAGGCAACTGATAGATGTTTCCCCCCATTCATCAATGTTTCTCTCTCCTCCTTTCTCCCTCCCTTCCCTTCGCTCTAAAAATAAATAACATCTTTTTAAAAAGTTGGGAAACTTGCCCCATGCCACGGATTTTGGGGCAGAGAGATGAGAGGAACCTGATTATTGCTGACTTCTAATTCACTGTTCTTTCTACTTGTATATTTTACCCCTTTATCTCTTTTTGCTTTCCTGTCCCCAACTCCCTCCTCCAGTGCTGTACCTATTCACATCTCCATGCTTTCTAACAAGCTGTTCCCTCTATCAGAACTATCACCTCTTCCCTTTCTCTTCCCTATTGCTCTTGCAAGATTCTGGAAAAATCTAGAATGTCAGAATAGCCCTCCACCAAGCTTCTCTAAATATATTCTCCCAGAATATATAGTTTTATTATAAGCACTGACCCCTCTGCATTGCTAGTGTTTGCACATCTGTCTCCCATTAGAGTTTGCTCCTACAGGGTAAACGTGTTTATCATCTTATGCTCAACACCTAGCTCAGTGCCCGGCAGAACCAACATTAGATACCCATTGAATGATAAGGAGTAAACAAGGTGCTGGTGGGGATCAGAAGCATGGAGGGAGTGGCTGCTGTTGGGTTAGATGCTATGGAAGGACACTAGATTGTTAACAATAGAAGCGTGACTCTATTCCAGTTATATCTTATTTTGTCTATCTCATCACCTGAAAAAAAAAAAGGGTTAATGATACTGCCACACATATTTCAGTTGGGTTTTGTTAAGTGTTAATATGAGAAAGTATGTGGGAAAGCATACTTTGAAGAGTGTAAAGCAGTCTCTCAACCTAAGACATTGTCATTACATTTAGTTTGCAGGCATAAAGGCCTCTCATCTAGACGGCTAAGCAAAGATTCTGCCCTTATGAGCGATGTCTAAAAAACAAGGGCACAGAAAAATCTTTTGTTCCTCTAATTTCCTGGAGCCATTACAGTACTCAGTAGGAGAGTACCACAGTGAAAATTGAGGTGAACCCTTTAACATTAACATAGACAGCTGGGGTTAAAACTCAGAACTCAGGTAAAAAACTAGTCATTTCTGGTCTTGGCTGAAGAGCAAGGGGGACTCCTCAGGGGAAAAATACAGCAGGACAGCTTTGAGGACAGTGTATATTTGAAAACAGCATGGACTGTAGTATTCAAAATCATTCATTCAAGCTCCAGATACAGGGACTTCCTGAATTCCTCAGGCCTCAGAGAAGTGGTTTTCCCGGTGGCTTATAAGAGCTTGAATCTCTGGTAGCAACTTATTTGGGTAAGTTAATTCCCTAAGGCTGTTTCTCTTCTCTGAAGATGACAATCACCAGTTGGGGTTGGCCAGGAGGCTTAAACGAACGAACACCATGTAAGCACATGGTGAGTCCTGAAAAAAATGGAAGCTATCATGATTACACTGCTCTGGCCCTTAAAGTCTGAATCACTAGTTTTGTCTTTTCATCATATACTGTTTGTGTAACTGTTTCCAGGATGCATCCCACATCTACTTCTGCAGGGCTCTGGCACAGGCAACGCAAGGCAGAGGACAAGTGAGTACAGAGTAATTAGCCAGCAGGGGCTCAGAGGCTGAATGAGGGGACATTAGGTAGGTGGGCATGGGGGGTGCTGCAGTTGGCCAGGACCCAGACTATGGGGTATGTTTCTAGACCAAAGTTCCATCATTTCCTTGTTCCATTTGCAGCAGCACACCCATATCTATAAATGGCATCCTGGGGACTGGATGAAAAAATTTTCAGAGAAATGTCACTTGAGAGGCAATCATCTCCAAAGTCTTTTAATCCAATTTTCCCAGCACTAAAGTTTTTTCCAAAGATGCTTAAACACTACCATAGCAATTAGTTTGACAAATAACTTTCCATAGTAAAACACTCTTCTCAGAGAACTTTCTAGAGTAGGCTTCAGTGATGGTCCCTCTTCTCTGGATATGTATTTAGTAGAAAGAGAGACATGTTTTGCTGAGTTAATCTGCAGTCCAAATTCATTTCCCAAAACTGCTTAAGCGTTGTATCAGAAGCCTTAATTTAGATGTGGTAAGGGAAGTGACAGAATTAAATTTTGCCTGAAAGGCCTTAGGTTCAGTTTTTACTGTTCAGATAGAGAGCTTATTTGGTGTGGGTTCCCAGTGATAATGGTATAGTTAATGAAGCTGTCACTTAATTCACTAACATTCCCTGTTTTTTTCAATAATGTGCAATATAAATTGTACCTACACTCTCCTGGGTGATACACTGAGGGGTAAAGTTAAACAGACTACACAGTACACTTTGTTAAACGGTGGCAATTGACAATTCTGTTAAAGAATTTACTCCAATGAAATCCATGTTGACTTTTATGCTACTTATTAAAATAACCAAAGCCTCAAACAATGCCCATGAAAACAAAGGGAAACACACCAATGCCATTGTCTCATCCTAATTTTAACCTGAAAGAGCCATGTTGAAGGAAAAGATGCACAAATGGGTCCCTGGCTCCAGTGGGGAATAGCAGAATCCATCATGTTGCTGTCCTTTGGCTTGCTAACTAGGAACCGATTTACAGATTTTACCCAAGAAAGCCCCCGCTGGCTTGGAGATCCAAAGTCTATTTCTTTCCAGTTTATATACAAACTTTGATATAAGATAATGGCATCTTAATTTAACTTCAGCAGAAGAGCTTGCTCTCTCAAATGAGGGTTTTTTTCCATTTATATTCAGAAATAACAGTTTAAGACAATATTTAAGAAGGTAGGGGGAAGTGGAAGCAACTATTTTTTAAAGAAGATTTTATTTATTTTTAGAGAGGGAGGAAGGGAGGGAGAGAAATATCAGTGTGTGGTTGCCTCTTACTGGGTCGCACACCCCTTACTGGGGACCTGGCCCACAACTCAGGCATGTGTCCTTACTGGGAACTGAACTGGTGACCCTTTGGTTCGCATGTGGGCACTCAATCTACTGAGCCACACCAGCCAGGGCAAGAAGCAACTATTGATACATTCAACAACTTGGACAGATCTCAAGGATATTATGCAGAGTAAAAACCAATTTCAAAAAGTTATATACAATGATTCCATTCATATTAACATTCACAAAATAACCAAATTCCAGGGATGGAAAACAGACCATTGGTTGTTAGGAGTTAGGGGTGGAAGGAGAGTAGAACTAGAATTTGGGTGGGGGGTGATGGAATAGTTCTTTTTGTATGCTGATTGTGGTGCCAATTACGCAAACCTATGACAGTGATGTAATTTTGAGATTTCATACACACCAAAAGGTAAGTCAATGAGTGTGCATAGAAACTTGTGAAACCTGAAAGGGATTTAGTTATTAATACTATATGCAATGTCAATTTTTTGACTTTGATAATTTCTCATGGTTATGTAAGATACTAATTATCATCAGGGTTCACTGGGTGAAGGGTACCCTTGAACTCTGTATTATTTTTGTAACTTTCTGGTGTCTAAATTTTTTTTTAAGTGGAAAAGGATATGCTACAGCAGAGGACAAAGGAAAACAGTCAATCTAGACATTTTAATTAAATTTAATACGTATTTTAGTTCTATTAAAAACTAAAACATTTGAAAAACTCACAAAGCTTATAAAACACACTCATACCCAATAATTTTCTTATTCTGCAATAGTTAGAGCTATATGTTGAACATGGTACATTACCTCAACCCACTATATTTCTAAAGTTTTACTTCCATAGAATTTAACAAATAGACATCTTAATTTAAGAAGACATATACACTCCTTGTAAGAAAAGATCTCAAATTATTTTTTAAAAACAAAACTTTCCTGTTAAATTCAGTAAGGGTTGATTTAGCTAATTTAGGCAGGGTCATGATAACTTTGTCCTTTTGGGCGATACTGGGTAGATGCAGAGCTGCAATGTGCTAGGAAAACAGACTTACTTTTCAAAATGCACAGTAGAAAAGAACAGTTCAGATTCAGAGCTGGAGAGTTTCTGTTTACCTAAGTTTGTTGAAATAACTGATCTCAGGGCTTGTTTATTTAAAAAAAGGTTTCAGGGACACTGAAAAGCTCTCTAACAGAGGGAACTCAGCCCTCCCACCAGTCAGCCAACTCATAGGCAATTGGGTCACTCCTTCAGGTCTTTGCAGTCAGCTGTTACCAAAACCAGGGTGACCCTCAGAGTAATTAGGAATCCCCAAACTACCAATAGGCTCTGGCTTCTCTAAGCATCTTCAGGAGACACCCTCTCCTCAATTAGGAGAGAAGGGAGTAAAAGGTTTAAAATAATTTTGGCAACTGCCTGAGACGCTTTACATCTAAGAAGGTGCCTACGGAATTCATACTATTCATTTGCTTTAAAGTTTCAGAAGGTTTCAGACCTTCAGGAAAAACTGGAGTATCCCTTTCATTTTCTTTTTCAGGATGGTGGGTAAACTCTGCTTTTCCGGTTCGGAGGTTGACTACAGGACTTGATTTAAGGTTCTTTAATAAGACAGCTGGGTTTTCATTCAACTGCTGTGCTGCTTTTGGCGGAACCTCATTTGTAATATTTCTCAATACCAGCATATCTGTGTGGGTGCCCGAGGGTTCACAGTTATTACAACTAATTCTTTCACAGGCATTCCTAGAAGGCTCCTTCTGACAATCAAGTTGTTCAGGTATGGACGTGAGGTTTTGATTCAATAAATGTTCACTCTTGCTATCGGTGTTCTTCAGAGGCTCCTCTTCATCTTCACTATTGTCACTGCTTTGGATGAGTCCATATCTCTTCATATATTTTTTGGTTGCGAGAGACATGTTGCTTGGTGAAATTAAACTAAGCCCCACTGTGCTCCTGTCTGCATTAATATGCAGAAGGCTAAAAGATGAGTCACAGTTGTTCTGGTTTGATCGAGTGAGAGACAGTTGTGACAGCTGATTTTCATTTAGGTATTTCAGAGCTATAGCATTTGCCTCCATGCTCAGATCCACACCATTTGGGCTGAAGCCGCTCATGCCAGCATTAGAGAATGACACGTAGTTCAATCCGGAGATCACCGCCTCAGGGCTGATGCAGGCCAGCACACTGCAAGACACAACAGAGCGGGCCATCACGTACCTTATTTGGGGTTCTGAGTAGCGTTATTCTAAGTGCGCTCCAGTCTATGAGGTAGCTATAGGGCTTCAGTTCTAAGCCTCATGGTGCTCTGTATCTGAGAGCTCAGACTTCTAAGTCTTGATGATCCAGATACATTCAAGGGATAAAACTGATAACCTAGAAGGTAACCCATGACTTACAGACTGAAAGTGGAACAGAAATTAATTTTTCTAAACTTAAACATCACTCATGGTTTTAAAACAAAATACAGGCCCCCAAATGTAAAAGTTATTGGTAAGGTAAATATTTGTAAAGTAAAACAAAAATAAAAAAATAGAAAACACATTTGATAGTATAACATTACCAGCTCTGGTGAGTAGCTCAGAATATTACCTTGTTCATAGCTGAAGAGATTCTATTTGTAATGAATAAAAAACAGCCAGTCTCTGGACACGGACTATGGCGTGTGTGTATACACTGATTTTCTTTGATTAGATACAAGCTTCAACTCACTTTGGCTGGTATTATCTCACCTAATGTTAACTAATTGACTTGCCTTTCCCTTTATGTCATATATACAATAATAGCTGCTAATTTTGATGGATGCCATATTATATGCCAGGCACTCTGCTATGCATTCATTATCTTATTTAATCCTCACAGAAAACTTTCTCAGAGAGGTCATCCATATCAAATATCAAATATCAAATATCTCAACTTGATTGTCCATTACAATTCCTCACATTTCCCTTCCCCTACTTTTCTGTTTTCTTCTTGGCACTTAGGGTTATCTATATCTACTTAACTCACATTTCTTGTTTATTGTTTAGCTCCCTTGTGAAAGCCCATGAATTTTTGTCTATTTCTGTCCCCCTCTTCAGTATCCCTGGTGCCTGGGAGCAGGCACTGAATTAATACTTACTGAATGAATAAAAGAAGCAGGTACTATTATCTTTATTTTACAGTTGGGGGAACTGAGGAATAGGTTTTTAACTAATTTCCTTAAGTTGAACAGTAGTGATTGACAAACAGAGGTCAGGTCTGCCTTACTCTCTGGGCCTCTATCATAGTTTTCACTGTACGGTGTTCAGCAACATGTACTTTGCTATCAGTTTTTCTGTTCCCTAAAAATTAGAGTCATGTGTGTACTATTTGTTATGGCAAACAGTATATTCTAGTCAAAGAATGAGCTATGACTTTCCATATCATTCAGTGAAGAAATTCAGCCGTTTTACATGTGCCAGCCACTGGGCGCCCTTACCCCTGCAAAGCCCAAATAACTATCAGGTAGTTTCATTCTCATCATTACTGTTCCCTGAGACCAGCGAAGCCACCACCCAGCAATGGGACAGCGTGCTCCGTAATGATGGTCTTTACAAGGACTTCTTCCTTAACCTTCTTGCTAACTTTGGGAGACTGTCAGAATAAGATGAGACAGTATCAATTTATCCAGACATTATTCTTTTATGCTATAGTATAGTGATAACATATTCTGAATATACAGTCCTTTTCTACTTTCTTTATTTCCTAAAATTATAAGCAGTTTGCATATTGAATCAGAAAATGTGTGCACACTAAAAATATATCTACAGATAATGTTAATGTAAATAATTTGAAAAAGCAAATAAGAACTTCTAATCCAAGTTCATGATATATTAAAGTGTGTTAATTTCAGTGTTTCATACTAGAGACATTACAATAGGGTGGCCACTGTGAAGAAATATAGTACTCCCCAAAGGCAGCCACACTGAAAAGTAAGGGCCCCACGCAGACTGCAGGCTGCTCTGTGCACTCCAACAAGTATTGTACAGCCTCTGCCTCGCAAGTGCTACCTGCCTCACGCTCCTGCCCTGTGGGAGGAATATAAAGCGGTACAAGTACTCTGGTGTGTAATGGCAACATCTGCCAAACCCTCACATGCATACATCCTTTGAGCCTATCTATCTGTAGGAATTTATCCTGCAAAGATACTTGTACCAGGACTTGTAGAATGATGTTCACTTAGCATTGTTTGAGATAAGAAATAAGAGATTCAGACTAAAAGGCCATTAACAGAGGACTAGGGTTCACTATATTATAGTACATGGATCCCACAGAATATTATGCAGTTGTTTAAATGCATGAGAAAGAACTGCATATGCCTATAAGGAAAGGTGAGCTATAAATGTTAAGGAAAAAAACAACCAAATCACAACACTCATTACACATGTATATACTTGAACATTTCTAGAAAAACATAAAACAAGAGGAGTAACCTTGGAGGAGTCAGACTGAAAAGTTTGGGGAGTGCGGGCTTTTGTATTTTATCTGGTATTTGTGTATGATTTGATATATATTTTTTAAATAACAAGACTATTACTTTTGTAACTAGAATATAGCAACAAAAATAATTAGCAGAAAACAGGCTAACCTTAACAATATAATTTCCAGATTGTTATCCTCTTTAAAAACAAGCAGGTACCAGGGTCATCTGTGATGCAGAGGAGTCTGAACAGAAGAACACGGCCAGCTGGAACATTCCTGAGCAGTAGGTAGTGTTCATGTAACTATGCTCTTGCCGTTTAGGTAGCACAACTTCATAATATCCAGACGCTGGCACAGACACTATCACCTCCAGCAAGACTTTCCAAACACCAGAAATGAATCAAAGCTCATTTCTCTTTCCCCAAGACTCCCAGAGCATTTCACTGGCATCTTTTCCCAGGAGACATCCCACAACATCTCTGTAATTACTTATATAACCCTCTCTCCTGCTAAAATGGAGAATCTAAAAGGTACAGATGATTTCTTATTCATCACACATATAGCAGGCCCTGAATAAATGATAAATCAATTGAACTGAGTAGCAAGTGTATGCCCTTTCTCATGAGATTGCTGCATACATTTAAAATTTATTCATCCTTTAAACAAATTTTAAAATTACCTAGCATGATCCACTTTATGTGCACTTTTCTTCACTTTAGTGGGAGAATCAATTTTTACTCCAAGGCTTCTTAGTTGCTTAAGGGTTGCATTAAGAACACAATCTTTGTCCACCAGTCCTGAATCATGTTTTTTTTTCTTTGCATGGTAAACATTTTGGGTTCTGGTACACTCATGGCTGACAATTACTGCACTGGTAGATGGTTGCTCAGTCTCTTTGGGAAAGTTATTTAATAGGTGGTTCACCTGACCCTGATGAAAAGAAAAGATATATTTTAAAAACCACTATTAACAATTTTAAGAAACAAAAATGTAAATGACAGCATAAGTAAGGCCAGGGAATAGTAAATTAATATCTTCCCAAATTCTACAAAGTATCAAGTACATTTACAGATACACCCATACCTCGGTACTCATCAGCTTCAGAACTCGTTCCCTGTACTAGATGCATTTGGACAAGAAAAAAAAGTTTCAGCACTTGGAGCTTGCTTGGGACTCGTTGCATTTGTATGAGACATGATGCCACCCCACAAGAGAAAATGCTTTATCATTTGTCACTTGAAAAATTCGTTAGGTACTTGTCAGTTCTGGCACTCATCATGAGTTCTGGAGTGAATTAACAGCGAGTATTGAGGCACCACTGTATTATAAGTTTTTTATAAAAGCAGTCCATCCCAATAAATGCTTTGACCAGACCCTAGAGGAAACTTAGAATGTCTGTTCATAGGTGGTGATCACACAATATGATATACAGATCATGTATCATAGAAATGTACACTGAAACCTATATAATCTTATTAATGAATGTCACCCCAATAATTTAATTAAAAAAAAATGATTCAAAAGGAGGGAAATATTTAAAAAACTTCCATTTTGCCTTTCACCAGCATATGTCAAAACTAAATTCTCAAGATTTATGAATAAAGTTTCCATCCTGATTTTTTTAAAAAATATATATCTGTTCAGAATTTGTCCATTTTAAAACCAATAGACTTAAAATTGTTTGAGTGGTATTTCAAGTGCTTTCAGGATTTATAGAAAATTCTTTATAAACAAAAGTTTTAAACCATGCTTTCATCTGAAAAATAGTAATGTTTCAGTTATGCATGTCACAGATCTTTGTTCTTCCAGAATTTGACTCCTTTCTTTTCTCATTCTGAGTGAGAGAGAGTACTACCTCTGTCCTCCTGGCATTAAAGCACATGCCATTCCCTGAGCACATGGTCGCGCACACCAGCCTAGGACCTAGCAGGCAAATAAGAAATGTGTGTTCACTGAGGAATACTAAGGGCTCTGTGAAGTAAGCTTAATTAGCCCTCAATTTTAAAGGGAGGAATCTAATGTTCCAAAGTCTACAATCTGGATGGAAGTGACAGTCGGGGTTATGTGACCTTCATGTCCCAGTTTACATTCTAGCTTTTCTAAGGCAACTATTTTCTCCAGCCAGAATTATGTCTTTTTAGTCTGTGCTGCCTTTGCTTACAGCACTTCTCCACCTGCTCCAACTGTTTGTTACCGGTATCTGTATATTATTTCCCCTAGGTTCTCAATGGTCATATTCACATTTTACAGTATCTACTTAACTTAGCTCACTTTCTTAGGCTAGGCTAAGTATTCAATTAAAATGCCACTTACCTAACCTGAAATCGGTAAATATTATCATAAATATTCTACTTCTTTCCAACACTCAAACTTCCTGCAAACTCTTGCTTGTTTTCTATGGTACCAACTTCAGTTTGGATTTGACCTAATATCAATATTTATATTTTTAAACTAAAGCTTCTCGCCCCTCCCCAGCTATCTAAGTACCTGATAACTGGCATGCTTACAGTTTAATTACTGGATTTGGGTTATCACAACTTATGAAAAGCTAAAAGAAATAAATGATATATCACTAATTTGCACATCTTCTTATACCAAGGTCCCACTCAATTTAAAGATAGGAAAAGCTTGACTAGTATACCCTAAGCTAAATCACCATCACACAGAAGATGAAATGCTTTACATTTTCTTACCAATAAATCCTGGTATATTTTCTGGTTATCTGATGTTTGATGCGGTGAAGGTTGCATTACTTGCTCAATTTTTGGTTCCCCAGAAGTTACAGAGTTGTTACTAGCACCCTCTGTTGGTCTACTCTGTAAGCACATGTTTACACTTTCTGCCAGCAGGGAATTCGGAAAGAACACAGGCACCTCAGGTTCTTTTCTCACCTCTGGAGAAGAGCTGCTTGAAAGGATGTACATATAATGTAAGTGTTAGTTATCAAAGTGTCCTTAACATATATTTGAAGTGCCGTAACTCAGGAAGAAAGAGGTAAGGTTCAAGCAGCATTCTGGTTTGTAATTTTAGCTCTTAGTGATGAATATCTCATCTTGATAGACTGCATATAAGCTGGATCATGACACCTTTTTGAGTTGTTATTTATAATGTATTTAGACAACTTTCTTGAAAAGTTGGAAAACAACCTGCTGATTTCTCCTGAACTTGATGCAATAAAATTTTTTAGAGTTTAAAGACAGAAAAGACTTAACTAGTATTTTCTAAATACTCTAAAAAATTTTAAATATATCATTTGTTTACTTCAAGGTTTTTTTTTATATTTTATTTATTTATTTTTAGAGAGAAGAGAAAGGACAGAGAAAGAGATGGAGAGAAACATCGATCAGGTGCCCTGACCGAGACTGGAACCAGCAACCATTCGTTCTGCAGGCTGACATTCAATCCACGGAGCCACACCAGCCAGTGCTCACTTCAAGTTTTAAAATTTGTCAAATAAGAGTACCTAAGTTGTCATTTATAATCACATTACATACTTGGTTGTATTTTTCTTCTTTATGCTTGTATGTATTTTTCAAATTTCATACAATACATATTTATTATTTCCAAATTTAGGATATGAATACGTATTTTAAAAGTAACCTTGGAAAGCAATATTTAAAAACATTACTTGTAAGAACAGTAATCTATGGCTATTGTAGAAAACAGAGAAAAGTAATAATAAATATTAACTAGCGGAAAGGGCCAGGCACTGTTTCAAATACATCATCTTATACAATCCTTCCCCAAAAGACCTATGAGATAAATACTACGTTTTATCCTTATTTGACAATGAGGAAATTGAGGCACAGAGGTTAGTTAAGTAACTGCTCAAAGTTATACTGAGTATAAAGAAAATAAAAGTCACAGGTAATTGAATACCTAGAGATAACAGCTGTTAACACTACAGAGGATTTCCATCTATGCTTTTTTTCTACTGATATGAATTTTCTCTGAAGAACTGTACCATATTATATATAGCTTTAGAAGCTGCTTTTAAAAACCAAATATCATGTCATGAATATCGTCCCACTTCATTAAATATTCTTAAAAAACAAGTTTTAATCTTGACATAGTATTTCATTTTATAGATATTGTATGATTTTTCTAACCATACCTCTTCTTTAAAACTCAGTTTATTTTCATTTTTTCCACACTATTTAATTTTTTAAAAAGATTTTACTTATTTATTTTAGAGAGCAGGGAAGGAAGGGAGAAAGAGGGTGAAAGAAACATTAATATGTGGTTGTGTCTCATGCACCCACACTGGGGACCTAACCTGGCCGGCAACCCAGGCATTTGTCCTGACTGGGAATTGAACCAGGAACCCTTTGGTTCGCAGGCCAGCACTCAATCCACTGAGCCACACTAGCCAGAGCCATACTATTAAATTTTATCTTGATATGAAATGCCAAGTACTCATTTGGTACATGAAAATATCAAGAAACTATTAGCTAAAATGAATCTTTGTAAAATGCCAGTCAAGATATAATTCTAAGAAAAAAAGTCAATAAATCTGACAATCTAAAGTAAAAAATCATTACATGGTAAAAAACATCAAACAAGGTCAAAATACAACTGACAAACTAGATGAAAATATTCACAACATTTACCACAATCAGTGAACACCTCTGATATGTGAAGAACACTTAAAACTTGAGGGGTAAAAGACATAAAACTAATAGGAAAATGGTATAAGAAAGACAAGCACATAATTCACAAATATTTTTATGATCCAACTCACTTATAAGTTTAAAAATGAAAGTTAAAACAATGCCAAAATATCCGTTATCACTTAAGAGGCTGGTCAGCAGTGTTTCTGGCATGGCTTTGGGGAAACAGACAACGTCAGATACTGTTGGTGGGAATACAAACTCGCACAACGCTTTTGCAGGGAAATTTGGCAACATGTAATGAAACTACATAAGCAATTAACTTTAGATGCAGGAATTCCACTTCTAGAATAATTCAAAACTATACATGAACAAAGTAACTCACTGTAGCATTTTTTTTGTAGTTGAAAAACATTGGAAACAGTCTAAATGCTCATAAATAGGAGAGTATTTTATTAAACTATGGCACATCCAAACAATGGAATATTATATAGCTATTAAAATGAAGACAATCTCTAGGAACCAATCTGGAGCGATTTCCAGTCTATACTGCCAAATGAAGAGAAAAGTTTAGGAGAGTGCTTATGGCACACTACTTTTCTATACTTTGTTTTAAGAAAGAAATAACATAAAATACAGACATATCTGCTCATTTGTACAAAAGAAATACAGGAAGGATAATCTAGTAACTAGAGATTGGGTAGAAGAAGAGGTAGTAAAAGGAGAATTTGGGAACAAAGTAGCAGGGAAGAGAAGGAAACAATCCTTTGAGTGTATACTTTTTTATATAGTTTGGTCTGTTAGAATCATAGTGATGTTTCCCACACCAAAAAAAAAAACCCAAAGAAAATCAACTAGAATATGGAGGGACCCCAAAATGGAATAGTAACACCTAATGGCATTGCAAACAAACAGCATAACCATATAAGGGAATGGAGAAGAAAAAATTAACCTAAATAACTGTGAAAAAAGATATTTTCATTGGATATTGTAAGGCTAAAGATAAAAATTATAACTAAATATATTCTAGTAAATTTGCTTCAAAATTCTTAGTCATTCTGAAACTACTTCATGTACACAGTGAAGTAGGACTGAACTGCTAATAAAAAAGGGGGTGTAGGACTGGAATCAGAGGATTGGTATGAAGTCAAGGATTTTCAAGTGCAGACAGATACTTATAGAAATAAATGTAGATGTAGATGTATTCGTAGGTTAGCGTGCACATAGAGTTAGATCACCAAAAGAATCTTAGAATTTAAAAGAGATAAAGAAGAAGGATGAATATTGAATCATGGAGACCTTACTTGGATACAGAAAGTGGCTGATTAAGTTCTTCTTCCACAGCAATGTTGCTCTCTTCAAAACTGGGAATATCAACTGCTTTTAATGAAGACGCACTGCCTGGAGGACTTGTGACTTCATTATTAATATCGACAGAAAAATTCATGTCCTCACTGGAAATCTTGGTATCATCTTGCTTCAGCTGAGAGTCAGGCTCTTGATGATCCCCTGCTGCATTCCAAAACAAGCTGGCACCTGGAGATCCAAAGTTTTAACAAACACTGAAACAAATACTCTACTATAAAAACAATTCCCTGACACACCTTTGTGAAGTAAGACTAGCTATATTATTTTAACACAATTATCTAGAACTCTTTTCAGATTATATTTCCTCAGCAATGCCACGAAGAGTTACGTGGCAGGAGAAAAGATAGAAAACTGGGGTACAGAGGAAAAAGGGATATTTTGGGCCCTGATTCTTCAAGAGATGTGACTCTCAAATGATGTATTTTATACATGAAAGTTTTGAATATAGTTTGGTGTGGTGTGTTGAAAACTGCTGTTCTGAAACAGTGGACAAAATATAAAATATAAATCCGTGATTTTGATATTTTAATGAAGCACTTATAAAGCCATATTAGGGATGTATCAGACATATGCAATATCAGGCACGTATTTAAAAATCAAATGTTTCCCAAACTTTATGGATCAATTGAACAATTATTTGCAGAACTATTTGCATGTATTATTTACTTGCTTACTATTTTTCTTTGTCAACTCACTTTTTTTACCTAGCATAATCATCTCCAAGAAATCATAGATTTCAAGTGTTATATTTTTCCAATACTCCTAACAATAAATATATCCACAAAGTATAAAATATTCATCTACATACTACTCCAAGTCATCTTCTGAACCTCAGTGGTACGCATTCTACAATTTGGGAAATAATGCTTTATAAAATGATTTTTAGCAATAATTAAAACCAAAAAGTAAATCCAAGTCAAAATGGATTCTACTTTGAAGGCCAACTTGGATGATTTTATGAAAATAAATTAATAAAAGCATGATTTAATCTTGTATTAAACTAAACATGACAATCTTTTTTCTTTATTTTTATTGTAGACATTGTGAGAGATGTCCCCATTCCCCACGCTTTGCTGGCTTCCCACCCTCCCCACCCTCTGGCCACCACCACACTGTCGTCTGTGTCCTTGGGTTGTGCATATGTGTTCTCTGGCTGATCCCTTCACCTTTTGCATCCAGCCCCGCTATTCCCACTGACCGCTGTCAGTCTGTTCCGTAGCCCATGTTTCTGTTTTGCTCATCAGTTTATTTTGTTCATTAGATTTCACATATAAGTGAGATCATATTGTATTCGTCTTTCTCTGACTGGCTTATTTCACTTAGCATAATAATCTCTAAGTGCTACTTATCCTGAATACATGATCACTAGATATACTTTTGGGAATTAAGTATTATTATAGAATAAATGTGCTTCTAAGAGCCATTTAATTCAAATGATTAATTCATTTTTCTGCATATAAGTAACAACTCTGAATATGAATCCATGAAGTTTTAAAATATTTGAATTCTATATATCATACTGAAAACTTATTTAAAATAATTTTGGAATATCAGTTCAAGCACATGAATAACTTCACTCAGTTATCACTTATTCGACACATATTGTTTTAGGCATCATGTTAGGTAATGAAGATATAATAGTGAATAAGGCAGTGCTCCAGATCCCAAGCTTACAGTCTAGTGACATACAGATGTTAAGCAACTATAATACACTGTATATATAAAATTTTATGAGAGAGCCTAGGAGGAAACTGAAATTTTTGGTACGTTTGTTTAGCTCACAATACCCATAACTCCTTCCCCACCATCCCTCTACAACACACACACGTGCACACTTTCCTTGGGAACCATCACCCCTGCAATGAACACAGATGGGACTCCAGAAGCTATGTACTTATTATGTGATTCTTAGCCCCCTTACCACTGAAGCAGGGAGTAAAACCTAACCCAAACTTGGCCATTCAGGTTCTCTGCAATTTGATACTGGGACTGATGGATAATAACCTGGTTTGTGCATAAGGCTAAAACTGTGCACACATAAACTTTGGAACTCTGGGTGAGCTATATTTTAAAATGTAAGGCAATGAAGACTGTAGATCAATAAAACAGCTATGTAGAATAAGGGGATAGTCCTAATGGTATTCCAGTTTCTAGCTCTGATTTTTTCCTGAAGTCCAACCCCATTCTTGGCCTTCGCTTTCACAAAACATCCCCATATTCTTCCAGTAAATTTCCTGTCCTTGCTTAAATTACTTCAAAGTGGTTTATGTTGTAGACAAAGAATCTTAACTGAGTAATTAATACCTGAATGTGATTTATAAATGTGCGTGAAGTTGTTGCTACCCTCACTCCTTCTTCCCCTCTATATGGATAGTTCAGAAAAAGAACATAAAATTTGTCTTCAACCCACCCCCACTCTTTTGGGCATCATTATCTTCATTTGCAAAAGTAGCTCAGTCTGAACAGATGGGACTGTACTTATCCTCTCTCCTTGGCTTCCCTAACTTGCCTTCTTCCATTCAATCCTACCATCTTTCTCTCTATCATCCAGGCTTAAAATATTGGAATAACTTTTATCTTAATTGTGGAATAATTCTAGATTTATAGAGAAGATAATACAGAGTTCCTGTATACTCCTCTTCCAGGTTCCCTTGGTGTTAACATCTTATACTACCACGATACATTTTTCAAAATCAAGAAACCAACATTGTGGTTGGATGGCATGGCTCAGTGGACTGAGTTTCAAAAAAAAAAGAAAAGAAAATAAAAGAAAAAAAGAATATAGAACACCAAAATTAATAGCAATTTTAAGGAATTCTTCTCATGGTAATATATTTTTCTTCTTTTAATTGCCTCATTTTCTGCAGAGTGTATCTTCAAGTTAAAACTTACAGTTCATTCAGTAAAGCTGATTCATTCAATTAAAAAGTGAGCCAAGCCTTTAACATGTCATTAGAAAGAAATGTAATTTAGCTCCATCTATTAGTTTTCTTGTAACCCATCCAAATTTCTTGTTTCGTAAATGATTTGATAACTGTGTAGTGGACTTTAAAGAAAAATCAGTCCTGGCTGGTGTGGCTCAGTGGATTGAACGCTGGCCTAGAAGCCAAAGGGTCACCGGTTTGATTTCTGGTCAGGGCACATACCTGGGTTGAGGGCCAGGTCCCCACTGGGAGTCTCACAAGAGACAACCACACACTGATGTTTCCCTCTTATTCTCCCTCCCTTCTCTTCTGTCTAAAAATAAATAAATAAATAAATAAATAAATAAATAAACAAATAAAAGAAACCAACAGTGGTACGTTATTAGTAACTAAAACTGTAGACTTTATCTGAATTTCAGCAATTTTCCACTGATGTTCTTTTTCTGTTCTAGGATCCAATCCAAGATATCACATTGCATTTAGCTAGAATAACTTTTGAATCCTTCTTCCTCAACTGCTATATCCAATTAGTTATCAAATCTTATCGGCATCTTACGTGACCCTTCCTCTTCATCCTTATCTCTACTACCTTGTGTACTACTCGTCTTGCTAGACCCGGAGGACACAAAGTTGTTCTTGAAGATTTCATGGTCTGGTGATGAGTAAACATGTAAATAAATGTCATTTACATTGCTGATTTTTTTTGAGGCCTTTAATGTTGCTTACCAAATAAAGTAGATTGTCCTTTGTTAAAGATGTAGAAATGGCCCTGCATAGCACTGTAGAGTGCTGAACAATGCAGAGTCCTGTTTTCTCTGAGCCCACACTATTTTCTCTGCCCAGTCTGTCTGCCATCTCTGAATTCCACCTATTAAAATCCTACACACCCTCCAAGGCCCAGATTCAGTAATAGTGCATAGATGAAACCTCCCCAGATCCCGCAAACCACAGATGATTTCTCTTATTAGAACTGGGTCCAACCTGGGAAAGTGGCAAAAATGATGTGTTGTTATGGGGTTTCATACCTGTTTTCAGGTATAGTTTTATTTCATAAAGAGTAAAATTACACAAAGACTTTACATAGTTACACTCTTATTACCTTGGTGTTGGTTCTGTTTGTGTCATGCACCAATTTCAATGTAAAAATATTTCAAAGTAGATATGAAAAGCATTTTTAAAAATTCCTTACAAATAAAAAAAAAAGAAATTACCTGTGCTCACAGCAATGCTTACACTTTTTTTCATGTGTACACCCGGGGATGACTGTGCTTCCATGGAAACCCACTCCACTTGTGCTGCAGCCTGCCCCGTGTCTCCCACAGTGGTTGTCTTAGGGGAGCAGGGCTGAAGAGCCTGTGCTTCCAATAAACGCTGAATCTGTATCAGTTAAAAACATATGTTAAACTGGCAGTGAATCACAAAAAATGGCAGCTGAGTTTAAATATGAATTAGTTCTCCAGTTATAAATAACTAAATTTTATATTTTCTCACATTTCAACTAGATAATATAAAACTTATTCAATGTAGAAAATTATTATCATTCATTATTAATAAACTGGGCTATGTGTAAATTTAAAAGTAAAAACATACAAGTGTTTAGATTAGCATTCATAAATTGACACTCATGTTGAAAAGCCTGAATGTTAAAAATTCAATCCTATATTTTTTTCCTATTTCACTTAAAAACTCAAAAGTATGGTAGGAGGTATATTCTGACTCCACGTACCAAATATTAGACATTTTTACTCTTCTTTTTTTTTTTTTAAGATTTTATTTATTTATTTTTTAGAGAGAAGGGAAGGAGAAAGAGAGGGAGAGAAACATCAACATGTGGTTGCCCTTCACATGCTGCCAACTGGGGACCTGGCCCACAACCTAGGCACATGCCCTGACTGGGAATCCAACTGGAGACCTTTTGGTTCGCAGGCCCGCGCTCAATCCACTGAGCCACACCAGATAGGGCTCAAGGTTCTTCTTATAAGGTTAATCAGAATTGCCCATGTTTGACCATGCTGAAACTGGAAATATTAACAATTGATAACAGTTACTGAGTTCTTCCTGTTTATATGACACTACACTAAGACTTTTATGTATAATTTTACAACCCTGTGAAGAATATACTATTTATATTAGATACATTTACAAATAAGAAAACTTCAAGTATTAAAAATTAAGTTACTTGCCCAGGTCACATAACTAACAAGTAGCAAAGCTGAGGCTCAAACACCAAAAATGTCCCCTCCTCCTTTTCAAATTGAGATATAATTCACAAACTATATAATTCATCCTTTTACAGTATACACTTCTGTGGTTTTTAGTGCGTTCACAAAGTTTGCATTCATTAATCCCCCAAAATCTCTGTACCGGTTACTCTCCACTGCCTCTCTCCCTAGCCCCTGCCAATGACTAATCTACTTTGTCTATAGATTTGCCTATTCTGGATATTTTATATACACAGAACCATGTAATATGTGACTTTATATACTGCTTTTTTCACTTAACACAATGTTTTTGAAGTTCATCCATGCTGCAAAATCTATCAATTCTTTATTCCTTTTAATGACTGAATAATACCCCACTGTATGTATATAACACATTGTGTTCATCCATTCATCAGTTGATGGACATTTGGAGTGTTTTCACTTTGGGCTACTATAAATAATGTTGCTATGAACATGTGTCTACAAATTTTTGTGTGAACATTTATCTTGGATATATACTTAAGACTGGAAAAGCCTCCCTTTTTAAACAATGGGATTTTCTACTTCCCTATAAATTATACTATTGTGTTCATCTCATCTCATTAATTTTAGATTAACTTTATTAATATAGAAAAGTAAGTATTATTAATAAATTGTTTAAAACAATAGAAATTTAACCTGATTAATAATACAGAGTAGCATATGTACTTAGTGGTTTGGAGTACGGGACTTGATACCATAAAGACACAGGTTTAATCACAGGTGGCAAACACAAGGCCCGAGGGCTGAATGTGGCCCTCCACTTTGTTTTATCCAGCCTGGCACCTTGTTTCTACCTGTCGACAGCGCCCAGCTCTCGCTTAACCGTTAAGGAGTAGTTACATTCACATAGTCCCAAAATTACATTCGGCCCTTTGAAGGCAACCATGAGTCTGATGTGGCCCCTGGTGAAAATGAGTTTGACACCCCTGGTTTAAATCCTTCTCTATTGCCTTTTGGAAAAGTGACTTAACCACTGTGAGCTTCCATATCATGTAAAACTAGTTGTAAGGGTTAGGAGATAAATAAGATAGTTGTAATCTAATTAATAGTTACTATAGCCAGGTCCTATACTAAGTGCTTATATATGTGTAACATGCATGTCTACATATATGTACCAATACATGTACAAAAATATCCAATTAAGGCCAAAAGATGAAGAGCTAGCCATTAGAAATAGACCAATGTTTCAGGCAGAGAAGCACATTTAAGAACTAGAGTGGAAACACATTCATGTTTTAAAAGAAGAAAAGGCACACTATTGCAGTTGAAATGTAGCGAACACACAGAAAGTGACAAGAGATGAGCTGGGACAGGGAGACAGGTGACAAATCTAAAGGGCTCTGAGTGCCAAGGTAAGGAGTTTGGAATCTGTTCTAATTGTAATGGTCTGCTATTGAGAGTTTTAAGCAGGAGCCCTATGATCTGACTTGAGCTCTAAAAAGATGGCTGTGGTGTCCCCAGACGCAGGAAACACGAGGGGACGGTACTGGAAACAACATGTATGGGTAAGAGAAGACAATCTGAATCAGGGGGTAGTGTGAAAGACGGTAAGGAGAGGTTCAGGGAATATCCAGAAAGTAAAGCCTGGGTTCTCGACACCTGGGATTTTGGCTTGAGTGACAGGATGAGAAGTGATGTCATTAACTGAGATATTGATACTGAAAAGATAATAACAGTTAACATTTACTGAGCACTAACTATATGCCAGGCACTATTCTAAGCCCTTACATAGTAACTAATTCAATCCTGAATAATCCATACACATATGTATATCCTCATTTTGTAGATGAGAAAACTGAAGCCAAAAATAAGATAACTTGCCCAAGATCACATGAATTTATGTTACCCAGAAACTGGATTAGAACCCAAAGATCTGGTGCCAGATACCAGCCATTTAATCATATATCACAGGAAGGGAGGATTTGGGGTAGGTGTGCGGAAGAAGGATGTCAGTAAGGAGAAAAAAAAAATACAACACTTAAAGACTCGTCAGTACAAGAGTATCATTAAAAGACTAAGAACTCTGCCATAAAGACCAGGGGAAAGAAAACTTTCAAAGTAAAATGAATGAAACAAATCTAGTATAGAAATACTTCTTTTCTAGAAGAGAAGAGGTATTTACCTTCTAAAGAGGTAAACTCTTCTCTAAGGGTTAGTATACATACCATTAGGTTTACAAACTAGAGCTGTATCAGAATCTATTGTGCAGCCCTTATAAAGGGTGGGGCAAAAGTAGGTTGTGGGTACACAAAACAGTTTATTCTTGTATTATGATGAATTATTTTCCATATGAAAAACTGTAAACCTACTTTTGCCCTACCCTGTATTTTGTTATCTATAATGGTTTAGTAACTTATATCAGCTTTTCATTACAGGCAAAAAATGAAAAGAAAAATACAATTAGGTTGTAAGGTAGGCACGCACAAAACAGAAAACAGAAGGCTTGTTTTCTAGTTTGATTCTACTTCCAATTAGCAATGTGTCATTAGGTAAGTTATTTTCTCTCTCTAATCTTCATTTTACTTAACTGTAAAACAAGGACCAGAATTCAGTTTCTAAGGCTCCTTCTAGTTTGACATTTTACAATTCTACTCCAAAAAATACAATTACTGAAGAGTTGCCAGTTATTTATTTTATTTTTAGAGAGAGGGGAAGGGAAGGAGAAAGAGAGGGAGAGAAACATCAATGTTGTTGCCTCTCACGTGCACCCCACTGGGGACCTGGCCCACAACCCAGGCATGTGCCCTGACTGGGAACTGAACTGGCGACCCTTTGCTTTGTAGGCCCAAGCTCAATCCACTGAGCTACACCAGCCAGGGCAAACTGCTAGTTATTTTTAAGAAACCATTTTAATACCAGGAATTAAACAGAACTAAAAAATCTCCCAACAAACCTGAGCCTGAAGTAGTCTCAGCTGTCTGTCTTGCTCTGTGAGGAACCTATATGCATCCGGGGACAGTCCCATCATTCCATGCTCTGCCCCAGTGTTGGGTGTGTGCATGCACACTGCACAAGGCCGTAGGTTACAGGAGTCCACGTGTGAAGGCAGTCTTGCCACAGGAGACGGTTCTACACTGCTGTGGGGAGAGCAACCGCCCATGCTTCCCTGCGGTCTCAAAGCTATGGGGCTGCTTGAAGAATAGAATGCATTATGATACATAGCTGGACATCCAGTTGGGTGAAATAATGAATGTTTCTGAACAGCTTCAGACTGGAGGTCTTGAATGGATCCTACTGTATTCATTCCTTGCCAAGAATTTATGGGACTGTATTGAATATGGCCATGATGTTGACAACAACTGCAAATATTTGTGGAATAGTAAGACGGTGGTGGAGGAGTAGGTATCTGAAATTCCATTGGTTTTCCTGAATTATGAGGTGAAAAAATAAAATTGTGTGGGTGAGACTGTGCAGCAAGAGAAGACTGCCTGGAATTAAATGTGGAAGATCTTACAGGATATTCTTCCTTGGGTACATTTCCAGAAGAAACTGTTTGCAGCTTTTCAGATGCATCAGGAGATGGTCCATTGAGAGAAGATGGTTTAACACTGTTCTTTATATAGGGGTTCTCTTTCTTACAGGTTGATGGCTGTCTTACTTTACAGTGCCCCAAAGGAGCAGTGCCCTGGTTTAACTGAGTTGGTAGCCCTTCCGAGGAAGGCTCTCCAGCTCCAGATGCTGGGCTGTGCTTCTCATCATAAAGCTGGGGTTGCAGTGGTTGCAAGTGTTCAGAATGGCTAATCACTAAAGGAGGATTTTCATTATTCACCACTTCCAAAGTATGAGGCAGAGGGTTTGATTCGATGCAATTGCTATCCAACACAAGTGAAAGTTCTGGAACTGATGGTTGGATCTTAGAGACCTGTAAATGGGAAAGAAATGAAAGAGGGACAAGTATTTTTTAGGAGAAAGATATATGCTTCACTTTCCATCGACCACTATCTCCCAAATTATATCCAGTCACTTATTTAAGGAGGTTTATTCCTTATCTAGACAGTTGGTAAATATTTTCTGGGCATCTTCTATGAGCTAGACACTAGAAATACAATTGTGAGCAAAATAAATAAAGTCCTTGCCCTCAAAAAATGAAACTAAGCATCTCACAAGCCTATATAAAGATGGAACTCCTTTTACAGGAACACTTTAATGTTGCTTAGATCAGAGAATACAATATGATAAACTGTTTTACAATAGATATTTTTTACCCTCCCTGCAAAACAATTATCACAGGCAAAATGCTTCAGCAGATTTAGTAGCAAATAATGTTTCTGAATCTTAAATAACAAAGAATCTTCCAATAAATATTTCCAAATATTTTCCACTTAGTGGAATTATTTATTCTTGGTACTGATTTGAACTAAAAGAGTTGGAAAACAGCAGAAAAGAGAAAACAAAATACTCACTGTGGTGAATTTGGTTATAATTTGATAATAATCTTAAAAAGTTTTTCCCATTCCAGCCCTGGCCAAGTGGCTCAGTTGGTTGGAGCATCACCCCATTCACCAAAAGGTTGTGGGTTCGAGTCCCTTCCAATCAGAGCACATACCTAGATTTCGGGTTTGATCCCCACTCAGGGCACATACTAGAGGCAAACAATCCATGTTTCTCTCTTACATCAATGTTTTTCTCTCTCTCTCCTTCTCTCTCTCAAAAAAAAAAAAGATCAATAAACATATCCTCCAATAAAGATTAAAAAATATCTTTCTTATTCCTTTTTCTTCTAATAAGCCATTAGTCCAATTACAGTATAACAATTCTAAAATAACTGGCTGGCTGCCTGTAAAAAATTATGACAGGAGTTCTTAGCAATTCATCTCCAAAAGCAAGTAGGTTTTCTCAGAATATGGTAATAAGATGTAATGTCAAGCTTTGGTGATAGAGTATAGAATGTTGGGTCTATATAGATTAAAAGCACCAGATTCTGAAACTAAACCTCTGCAATCAGAATTCAAGCTTTACTACTTACTAGATGTGTAATCCTGGGCAAGTAAATTAACCAACCTGTGCCTCAATTTTTTCTGGGAATAATTATTATATGTCCTTATAATTTGTGTATATATGGATATCTATTACTACATAAAATAATTATATATACCTGTGAGTATATATGCAAGTATCACCATATACATATAGATAGCTACATATATCTTAGAATAAAACTTCAGTAAGTTTTAGTCTATGTTATTGAGTAACATGAAGAGATTTTTAGGTTTCTAGCCATCAAATATGAGTACTTAATAAGATCAGTGATACCTTCTGACTCACTGGATGAGGACTTGGAATTGGTCTTGGAGAAAAGTCTTCATCTTCAACACCAGAATCATGATCACTTATTGGCATTTTCCCTGGAGTTAATTTTTGGGAAGACCTAAAAAGCGGAGGAGGAGACAGGAAAAAGTCTTCAGTAATCTAGTGTTTGTTCATTCTTTTGGAAGTTGAAAAAAGTCCTTTAGTAAGCTACAGTATATTTGGATCATTTAACATAGTATCTGACAATCATAAGTTATTTTATTTTTCAGGCCAATGTTGTTGCCCAGGACAGCTGGCCCAACTGGACCCATGCTTAATAAAACATCCCTTTGCCTGACCATGGCATGTTTAACCCAGTTATTCTTAATGTCACAATAAGTCAACAGTTACTGAGCATCTTCTGTTTAACTACTTTGAGGAATGTAGAAATAAGTAAGACATAGCACCTGCCATTAAAAACTAATCATCTGGTGACAAAGATGTATTTTCACTGTATTAAAGAGGAAAATCAAGTAAGGGATTACTTTTTCTATGTACTTATATCTGTGATGGGAAAATATTGAAACATTAATTGAGGTATCTCCTCCCACTTAGTCAGTATCACAAGTGGCCCAGCAGAGAACACAGAGCTGGGATTGAGTTTCAAAAGCTGAAATTAGAGTTTAAGATTAAAATTTGGAAGACTATGTGCATCAGGTTTTTTGCATCCTAAACCAGAGAGTCTCAATAGGATGGGTTAGGAAAGAGGAAAGAAAAGCCAGAACGAAGTTGAGAGAGCTTAGACATTAATGGGTACTGTAAGAAAGGGTCCTATAGCTTACCTCCCTAGCAGGAAGAACAAGAGAAACCCCAGGTAGATCTGGAAGATCTGACAGAAGGAGAGACCTTTGCCCCAAGCCCTGGTTGTCTAGAGAGGCAAACACAAAATTCTTTCTGTGTCAAGGTGCCGCAATGAAACAATGCCTGCAAGGTACATTTAAACAGAAGGGTCTGGGCTGGTCCAGTGGTAGAGGATTATCAGAATTCAACTAAAGTCAGTGTGACTAACAGAAAGGTCTGTACCAGTCCATACAAGGATCTGTACAAGGTTTTTCAACAACAATGTTAAAGAAATGTGTCTCCTTAATTTGGCTTTGTCTTCCATAATATTCAATAAAATCTTGAAGAAAGCCTTACAGGGGTGTCCAACCTTTTGGCATCTCTGGGCCACAATGGAAGAACAGCTGTCTTGGTCCACCCATTAAATACACTGTGACCCGTAATCACAAAAGAAATCTCATAATGTTTTAAGTAAATTTACAATTTTGTGTTGGGCCACATTCACAGTCATCCTGGGCTGCATGTGGCCCATGGGCTACAGGTTGGACACCCCTGCAGATAGTAAAGGTGTTCTTGCAAAGCTGTAAGAATATAGCTTTTGGATCAAGATGGCAGCATAGGTAGATGTGGCTCGCCTCTTTGCACACCAACATCAAAATTACAACTAAAATATAGAACAATCATCGCTCAGGAATGTCAGAAATTGAGTTGAATGGAAGTCTGACAACTATGGAATTGAAGAAGCCACATCCATCCACACTGGTAGGAGGGGTACTCCCAAGCCCAAGTGTGGTGAATAAAAATTTGGGAAGGATATCTCAGGAGTGAGGAGTCCCAGCGCCATGTGAGGCCCCCCAGCCCAGGGTTTCAGTGCCAGGAATATAAATCCCCACAACTTCTGGCTGCAAAAACCAGGAGGGATTGAGTTGGGGAAGAAACTGTTGGAGCCGAAGGCAGTTCCTTTAAAGAATCCACACTTAGACTCACCTACTCAGACTCATGCCCTCTGAGCTCCAGCAGTAGGGTAGCAGCTTAAGAGGTACTGGCATATTGGGAGAAACTGAAGTGTCTGGCATCAAGGTCAGCAGAGGCCACTGACTCTTTTCTAAACCCTCCCCAGCAAGCTGGTGCCATATCTGAGATTCTATCAATCTGGCTGACACTGTTTGACCCACTTTGGAGATCCCCAGAGACTCCACCCCAACCAATTTACAGGCCTACGGAGAGCAGAAGGTGGTGGTAAGTGGTCATAGCCAATCCTTGCAGCTAAGTGGCCTGGGTAAATCCCTCCACTTGACCTGTCAATAGCAACCAAGGCTCAATTACAAGAGGAGGGTGTACTCAGTCCACACGAAGAGTACACCTCAAGTACCCAGCTTGGGTGAGAGGGGAGGCTGTATCACTGAACCCTATAGGCCACCTACTACATTAAGACACGGAGTCAAAGCAGCTCTACCTAATACATATAAACGAACACATGGAGGCTGCCAAAACAAGGAGACAAAGAAACATGGCCCAAATGAAAGAACAGACCAAAACTCCAGAAAAAGAGCTAAACAAAATAGAGATAAGCAATCTATCAGATGCAGAGTTCATGAGCAAAGGGACCAAGCTTGTATGTGTTTTTAATGCCACCATATCCTCAGCCCTTGGCATATTATCTGACATATATGAAAGGGTAACTTTATGTGTTCACTTGGCAAGGTCACAGTATCCAGCCATTTGGTCAAGCATTATTCTAGATATTTCTGTGAAGGTATTTTTTAGATGAGTATCATTTAAATCAGCAGACCCTGAGTGTCGGTGGGCCTCATTCGACCAGGTAAGGGCCTTACCAGAACAAAGAAGACTGACTTCTCCAAGAAGACAGCAATCACCTTCAGGCTCTAACTGCAACTCTTCTCAGCCTGCCAGCCTACCCTGCAGATTTCGGACTTGCCAAGCCTCCACACTGTGTGGGCCAGTTCCTTAAAACCTCCCTCCACACACACACAGTCAGTTCTGTTTCTCCGGACAACCCTGACTAGTACAAAGGAACATCTTTACCGCAAAAGGTATACACTGACCCAAAAGGTCACAAGCCATTATATAATTAATATTCCCCAAGTGTATTTGCTTTAAAAGTTTTAAGTATTTATTTATTTATGTTTCAGAGAGAGGGGAAGGGAGGAAGGAAGAAAGGGAGAGAAACATCAACGTGAGAGAGATACATGGATTGGTTGCCTCTCGCATGTACTCTGACAGGGAGTACATCTGACGACCCAGGCATATGCCCTGGGCAGAAATCGAACTGGTGACCTTTCAGTTCATGGGTCAATGCTCAACCAACTTAGCCACAAGTTTTAAAACAATTTCTTTTTTAGGTAGAACAATTATTTTGTACAATAGTTTATCTAATAGGCTTAGGTTTAAGACTATAAGGAAGGGAAGAACAAACAAAAGGCAAACTAACCAAAACAGATGCTCCTTTATACTTTTTTCTCCTATGTAAAAAAGCAACTCAAATAAGAACCATATTAGAGCTGTCACTTCATTAAAATTCCCATCCAACTTCTGAGTATGAAGGGATGCATCTAAAGCACAGACATCTATGGCACATAAGACATACAAATAGTTTCATCAGAAGTAATTAAATTTAATTACTCATCAAAAACTAATAAAAATAATTTAAAAGTATACAGATAATAAAAATATATCTTTTACCTCTTAATTGAAAGATTCTTAGAAACTCTGTTGAAAAACTCTGTTTCTGCATTTTGGCTTTCAGCACTCAGTTCAAAATGTATTGGATTCTTGTCAGAAGGTTCAACATTCTGAAATGAAGTAGGTCACATTTTTGAGATGTGACTTAAAACACCAGAGAATTCTATTTAGATGAAAAACAGCTCTGAAACACTGGGGGATGAGGGTAGGGGAGGGAGACTTCTGATTTCTATACCTGTAATCTTTTTAAAAGAGCTGTTTCATAGAGATACAATTGACATATAACATTAGTTTCAGGTGTACAACATAATGATTCGATGTTTGTATGTATTGTAAAACGGTCACCACAGTGTCTAGTTAACACCCATTGCCATACAGAGTTACAATGTTTTTCTTATGATGAGAACATTTAAGATCTACTCTTTTAGCAACTTTCAAATATAATCAACTCTTAAACAACATGGGGGTCAATAGGTGCCGACCTCCTGAGCAATTGAAAATATGGTACAATGATAGTTGACTTTCTGGCATACATAGATTCCCAATCTCAGAACTGACCCTTGAACAATGTGGGTTTCAACTGCTAAGGTCAACTGAAAAATATCTACATAGAGGAGGACCCACCCAGTTCAAACCCATGTTGTTCAGCAACAGCCAACCCTATACAGTCACTATAGCCACCGATCTGTACATTATATCTCCAGGAACTATTTATTCTATAACTGGAAGTTTGTACCTTTACACTACCTTCACCCATTTCTCTTACCACCCCCCACAAGCTACCAATCTGTACTCTGTATTTATGTGTGCTTGTTTTTTACTTTTAGATTCCAGTATAAACGAAATCATATGTTAGTTGCCTTTCTTTAACTATTTCACTTAGTATAATGCCTTCAAGGTCCACCTGTGTGGCAATTGGCAAAATTTCCTTATTTTCTGGCTGAACAATATTGTATTGTATATATGTTCTACATTTTCTTTATTCACTCATCTATTGATGGACACTTACAGTTGCTTCCATGCCTTGGTTATTGTAAATAATGTTGCAATGAACATGGGGGTGCAGATATCTTTTGCATTAGTGTTTTCGTTTCCTTCAGATAAACACCTAGCAGTAAATGCTGCATCATATGGTAGTTCTATTTTTATGTAACCATCTTTTTTATACTGTCCATGTCCCTACTACAAAAGTGAAGTGTTAATCATCTATATTAAGTAACTCATTCAATAACTAGGGATTCAGTTAAAATAGTAACTTTGAACTGAAGATACAACCTAAACAATAAAATTAGTAAATAATATATGTCTCTAAAATAGAAATAAATTAGACTTCATTTAAGATTATTATATTTATAATTAAAATGCAAGAACTTTATTCATGAACTGATTCAACCTACAAGTATAGTGCAAGCAGGCATAAAATAAGATCTGAGTGGAAACATATGGTTATTCAGTTAATGTTTTTGAAATAAAGTGCAAAAATTTTAAATTATTGGTCTGAGACATAAGACAACTAACCATTTTACTGAGAAGTGGTCTTGGAATGTTTTTACAAAACAACACATGTATTTTTATATGTTTTATTAGGTATAGCAACAATCTACTCTGATTCCTAGGATTATACATGATTATCACTGACTTTTAAGTGTGAGAAACCATTTCTTATACCCCTACATTTTAAAAATAACAATTAGGGAAAGGAAAACACTAAAATTATAAATTAACTCTCAATATCATAAAATGATACAACATATAAATCCCTGATATATATATATTTTGACTTTATTTATTTATTTTTAGAGAGAGGGGAAGTGACAAAGAGAGGGAAAGAAACATCAATGTGTGGTTGCTTCTTGTGTACTCGCTACTGGGGACCTGGCCTGCAACCCAGGCATATACCCTGACTGGGAATTGAACCAGCGACCCTTTGGTTTGTAGGCTAGCACTCAATCCACTGAACTACACCAACCAGGGAAAAGTCTCTGAACTCCAAGGTTTTAGAAAAAACATTGGCAGGCTATTCTGTGGATAACCTCTGCCCCTGTATCATAATTTGGTTCTGGAGATATGACCTAAAGTTACTGAAACAAAATTAACCATAAATGAATAAAGTAATATTCAATAAGACTGATTATAAATATACAAAGCCTAATAGTTACTGTTTTAAAGTAAAGACCATTGGGCTTAAACTGACAGCACAAAGCTTTAAACAGTCATTAGTTAAATCAAATCCCTTACTTTGAAAAGATGTAATGTTTCCTTGCTGGTTAGTAGCTGGAATCGAAGGTCTGGTAAGGGACCATCACAAGGGAGGCATTCATAAAACTCAGGATCCTTATGTGTTACAGAATATAGAACTATAATGAAATTTCCAGATTCTGAGAAAACCCTAGATGAAAAAAAATGCCATTTAATTAAAATTTACTGAAGATAACAAGAATATACTACAAGAACTCTAAGCAAGTCTCTCCATCTAGTTAACAGACTAACTAAATAGTCTAACTTTGGAAGAAAACCTGGAGCAAATTCATGCTTACTTTTTAATGTTACTGATTTTAATTTTTAAGTACATTTTATTAAGAAAAAAATTCCTTGTAGAAACTTTGAACAAGAATATAAAATAGAAAATGAAAACCACCCCAATCTACTCTCCAGTTTAGTATATATATGTATATATATTTCCAGATTTTCTCCTAAGCATACAAAAACATTTTATACAATTTAAGAAAAACAAGGCCATATGCCACACATGATATACAATTGCTATTTCTTATTTAACCATGCTGGGTTTCTTTGCACGTCACTATTCTATATTATACCTCAAATGTCCTAATTCTTTTTTAGAAACTACCAGTATTCTGATTTATAGATATGCCATTATTGATTCTCCTAGACTTCCAGAAATGTATATTCAAATTAATATATTCACAATGTTTCACTATAGAAACATTGATAAAGTGAACATTTATTTATTTTATTATTCATTACATAACAAAAAGCCAGTAAGAGTCTTTAAAATATATACTGAAACCAAATATTTAGCCCTGACTGGTGTGGCCCAGTGGGTTGGGCATTGTCCTGCCAACTAAAAGGTCACCAGTTCAATTTCCAGTCAGGGAACATGCCTGGGTTGCAGGCCAGTTCCCCAGGAGAGGACACTCAAGCTGCAAAAATCCATGTTTCTCTCCCTTTCTTGCTCCCTCCCTTTCACTCTCTCTAAAACAAATAAATGAAAAAAAAAAAAAAAGAAATAAAACCAACTATTTAAATACTTTCAAATAGTTGTCCCTATTTTGTAAAATGTTGAATGAAAAAATAACTTGGGCCCTGGCTGGCGTAGCTCAGTGGGTTGAGTGCGGCTGCGAACCAAAGTGTCGCAGGTTCGATTCCCAGTCAGGGTACATGCCTGGGTTGCAGGCCATGACCCCCAGCAACCGCACATTGATGTTTCTCTCTCTCTCTCTCCCTCTCTCCCTCTCCCTCTCCCTCTCTCTCCCTCCCTTCCCTCTCTAAAAAGTAAATAAATAAAATCTTAAAAAAAAATAACTTGGGTATATATTATAACAAAACAAAGCAGTAGAGGCTGAAGAGGCAGAACGTCTATTCTCCTCAACTATCTCTGGGATCAGACAAGGACAGTGCTGAGAATGCAATGAAGTACATACTAACCTAAGCTACATTAAGCAGTGCTAGCTCCTCTCTGGCTCAAACTTCCCTTGAATGGATTGGAAATAATTAAAGAGTTCACTATCAAAGAAATTCCCTAATGCTTCAGACTGAACACAGAGTGAAAAAGCTCAAAGATAACTTTACTGGGTATTTACTGTGAATAAGAACTTAAAGCAAGACCAATCATTGATAATTAAACAACTATGCAAATACACTAAAATGAACATTTGCTTTATTATAAATAAACCTAATTGTCTTTTAGAGTTGAAATAAAATGTGAAAAGCAAAACTTTAAAAGCATCTGAAGAAAGCACAAGAGATTTTTTATTTCAATCAACACTCCTGGAGTGGGCAAATACTTTCTAAGCAAGATAGGAAAAAGTTTTATAAATATGACTTCAAAAAAAAGGCTATTTGGGAAAAACACCATTAATCAAGTGACAATCAGGGGGGAAAAAAAGCTTCACCATGTATTTTTATAAATATTATTTCTCTCTATATTTTACATATAAAACACACGCATACACACATGGAGGCATGCACTCCTGAATGACAGGGATATGTCCTGAGAAACGCATTGTTAGGCGATTTCATTGCCGTATGAATGTCACTGAGTGGACTTACACAAACTTAGATAGTATAACCTATTACACACCCAGGCTGTATGGCATACCGTAGTCTATATGTGGTCCGTTGTTTGACCAAAATGTTGTTATGTGGTACATGAATGTATATAGAGAATGAGAAAGAGATAATGAGCTATTTCGAAGCAACAGGAAAGGATGCACAATCCAAGAGAATAATGGCAAGAGACATGAATAGAAAGCTCCCAGAAGATGGTTATAACACATGAGAAAAGACCACCACCATTACCTCTCTGAGGTCTTGCTGCTCTCCCCACTTCCCTCACTCCTCTTCAGCCACACTGGCTTCCTAGCTCTTCCTTAAAGATGCAATGTGATATTTTGCCCATGGCCTTTGGACTTAATGTATGCCCTGCCTGGGACTACCCAGACAGCCCCTGTAAGACTTGAGGTGGCTTACTCCCTTACCTCAAATCTTTGCCTGCCTGATTACCCTATTAAAATTGTTACTATTTACCTGCCACTACCATCCAGACAGACAACATCCTCCTCTCCTGCGTATTTTCCCCCACAATACTCATCACCTTATAAAATATTATTTATTTTACTTATTTGTTCTATTTTCTGCCTATACTGGCAGAGTCTTCATTTTGCTTACTGTTTATCCACAATATCATGAACAGTGCTTGGTATATAGTTGGTGCTCAATAAACATTTGTTCCACACTTTTAGTGAGGGGATAGAGAAAACTGGTACCCTCAAACACTGTTTGAAAGGGTTATAAACTGGCAGTCTTTTTGAAGGGCAACTTAGTAGTATCTACCAAAGTTTAAAATTACACTTTGATCAGAAAGACCACTCTTAGGAATTTATTCTACCAATAGACTAGGACATGCACACAAAGATATATTCAAAAGAGGACTAGTTTTTAAAGTATAGTATCTATTATTTACTATTCAGTTGTAAAATGTGTGTTAAATCTATAAGGAATAATGATATAGAGAAAAAGAACAATGTACAGAAGAGGAAGAATGGTATGCCCCCACCAGTGATTTAATTTTTATAGGCCATTGGAGGGTGGTATCTGTCTATGCATTGTATATTGCAGGAAGGAAGCACAAAATACTGTTTAACAATGATTGTCTCTGGGGATCAAGTCTGGGGAAATGAGGTAGAAGAGAGCCTTATTTTTATTGTATCTTTATTATGTCTGATTTATTACCATGTACTTGCACCATCTTTTCCATAAAGTTTTTTCTAAAGTGACTTATACACCCAAGGTAGACAGAAACAGACCTTGGAATTTTCATTTAATGGATGGAGAAGGTAAGAAGCAAACAGTGGTATCATGTACAAAGTAACAAAATTAAACGAGCAATTGAAGTTAGAAATCAAGTTTCCCTGTCAGTTCTGCTGCTTGTACTTTAGTTCCAGGAGGAAAATTAAACACTTCCTCTCAAATGTTTCTTTGAGTTCTAATAGTATTACTGTGTAATTTAATAAAACACTTGTAACAAATTCAAACTCATTTCAGCCATTTCAATGACAATGAATCGTTATTTATACAATACTAGAGTACATTATCTCTAGGGTTTTCTCCCCCACTCTTAAAAAGTCTATCTTCTGTGTTACAGTTCTGTGGTTAGGCAAGTAAATTCCTTCATATTTCCAAATTTAGTGCTACCTCATCTTTGTCTGGTGTTATTCCCATTTAATATAAGGTTTATTTTTCTAATGTGCTTGTTCTTCTGGTTTATAAGTATCATAAAATGTTAAGGCTTTGCATGAATTTTACTTATTTATGTTTTTTAGATTTTATTTATTTTTAAAGAGAAGGGAAGGGAGGGAGAAAGAGAGGGAGAGAAACATGGATTGATTGCCCCTTACACACCCGAAACTGGGGACCTGATCTACAACCAAGGCATGTACCCTGACTGGGAATTGAACTGGTGACCTTTTGCTTTGTGGGATGATGCCCAACCAACTAAACCACACCGGTCAGGGCAAGACTTTGCACAAATTTTAAAGATCAATAAAATATGAATAGAGTAAAAGATCAAAATAAAATATAGGAGAAAATACCACTTGCCTTTCTTGAATAGAAGAACTGAACATGTATCGCAAGCAGCAAGCCCATACCTGAGGACTATAGATATGTATAATGCCAGAGAGCCATCTAAAAGAAAAAATAGAAATAAAAACTATAGTCATTTATAAATTGATAATATTCTTTCTTTCTTTCTTTTAAAAATCTTATTGATTTTAGAGAGAGAAGAAGGGAGAGAGGGAAAGAGAGAAAGGGATGGAGGGTGAGAATGAGAGAAAGTGAGAGAGAAAGAGAGAGAAAGAGAGACAGAGAGAGAGAGAGAGAGAGAGAGAGGGAGAGAGAGAGAAAGACTGATTTGTCGTTCCACTTATTTATGCATTCATTGGTTGATTCTTGTATGTGCCCTGACCAGGGATGGACCTGCAACCTTCATGTATCAGAAGAACGCGTTAATCAATTGAGCTACCCAGCTAGGGCTGATACTTAATATACTTTAGATTATGTTCTTTTTTAGGGTAAGATTCTTGGCATTCACCAGCACTATACAATAAAAGCTTCATGAATAAGAAATCTATTAATACCAGGCTGTGATAATAATTAAGAGGGAGAATAGATACAGATATATAGAGAGAGTCTTTCTCTCTGTCCTCTCCCACCTGAGATGAAGGGAAAATGGTAGGAGAGAAAATAGTTAACCTTGGAGGTAAAAGCAGGAATCAATTAGAATCAATTAGCCTGGACTTGAAAGAATAAATTTGGGGAGAATGAAGTCAGCAGCTCACTATAGAGTACTGAAAGGGTTAAACATTGTTTTATTTATACACACACACACACACACACACACACATATATAGCATGAAACATAGAATGTTCTTAATAGTCACTTAGTGAGAAAGACAAGTACCATAGGATTTCACTTATAAGTGGAATCTAATGAAAAAATAATAAACAAAACAGTAACAGACTCAGAGAACAAACTGACAACTGTCAGAGGGGAGGGCAGTTGCAGGGCTCAGTTGAAAAGAAGAAGGAATTAAGCAAAAAAAAAAAAAATGGGCAAAGAAACTCATGGACACAGACAATATGGTGATAACCAGAGGGAAAGGGGACTGGGGGAGGTAGAAGAAGGTAAAGGGGGATATATGGTGACAGAAGGAGATTTGACTTGGGGTGGTGAATACATAATACAATATATAGATGAGGTACTATGGAACTGCACACCTAAAACCAATATAATTTTATTAGCCAATGTCACCCCAATAAATTCAATTAAAAAAAGATAATCACTTAGCATCAAAAGCCCATAGCCAATACCAGAAGCATAGCAAACAGAATGTAAGTAGATTTCATGACTCAGAACATTTGTGCATTCTCACTTTTTAATTTTGCATATACTATTCCCTCACATGGGTTCCCTCCCAATCAATCCTCCCTTCTATGATCCAAATACACTAAAACTTCCAGCTCAAGAGTGCTTTCTCTAAGAAAATGACCCCATCATTTCTCTTATAAGTACTAATAGTGCTCACTATTGATATTGTACATTTCATAGCAAATCATATACAGTCATACCTCAGTACTCGTTGGCTTTAGAACTCATCAAATCCTGTACTCATTGCACTTTGACAAGAAAAAAATGTTTCAGCACTTGGCACTTGCTCAGGACTGGCCACCCTTGCTAGAACATGTATGAGACATGATGCCAGCCCACAAGAGGAAATGCTTCATCATTCAGTACTTGTTGGTTTCACACTACTCTCAAGTTCTGGAATGAATTAATGACAAGTACCAAGGTACCACTGTACTTCCTTATTATTTACCTTTCTATGTGTGAATATTTGAATATTTTATCACCTCACCTTGATTATAAATTTCTTGAGGAGCTTTAAATCTTAACACAATATCAAAATAACACTACACATATGGTAAGCATTCAATAAATATGGAATGAATATGAACAATGTCTAAATGTTATTAACTACTAACTCTAAAGAGAAAGCCATTAATATTTAGGGGAATTTCTGCAAAACTGCCTGATACGGAATTTTAAAGTGCTATCCTCGCCCTGTAAGGACAGCAAGTAGTGAAGAAAGTTAAAGGCAAAGGGTTCTAATGCTTCAACTTCAACTAGCAGAACTCAACTTTCTCTGTTTTATACATTGAAATTCTTCCTAAGATTGAGCAAAATCTTGTTTTAACTAATTCTGCTATTCAAATAAGAAAGTTTAAGAATCATTGGTCATTGTGGTCTTGTAAGGTGATCTAAGTTTTAATCATATAGTCATAGCACAACTGATTCACATGTTTATCATATACATTTGAACACATACATGGCTAAAAAGGTTTTCATAAATAATGCAACACTTACATTCCCACTAACGGTAGAGAATAAACTTTGGGATCAGATTCCAGCAAAAGTAACAACTTGCGCGTTTCATCCATGGTAAGATACCTAAACAGAAAATATTCATGTAAAAACAAATGGAAGTATACACTTTTGACCTTTAAAAGAGATCAACTGAGTGCTGAAGCACATTTGAGTCAGGGGAGAAAATTCAAATGAATATTTTCTCTCTCACACACATAACACAAAGAAAACAGTTCAAAGTGTTAAAAAAAAGACTCCAATAAGAGGAGATTAAAGAGAGTCAGTATCTTAATATTCTATCCATTAAAATGGTCATTGAAAATTACACACCCTTTTAAAAAGTTTTGCTCTAAATGTGTCAACTTACTTTAATCAAAAGCATTAAAATCAAAGCTAACGATTTTAGAGCCATACACATTTCCCCGGAAGAAGTGAATTTCCTTTTACTGCAAGTGTTCAGCCATCCAGGTGACCTGACAAGGCTGCCACAGATACTACTTCCCCCGAAGGAGGCTGGATAAGGAGAGGTACAACATATTCAACTTTCTGTGTACTACAGTCCTCCACTACCAAAGAACTTTGGAACCATCATGACAGAACTCAAAAGCTCACTATTCCCTAACAGGATATTATACTATATTTATACTTTGTTATTACGTTTATTACTGACAGTTAAGTTTTGAGGATATGAATAGCTACAATAGAATTGTGGAAAGTTAATTTTATTGTTATGGCTTTAAAATACAAAAATAAAACAAAGCCATTTGTAAAATAAAGTCTTGATAGTCCCACTGAGGATATATTTCATTGCTATAATAACCCTAAAAAACAAAGATAATGAATTTATCAGGCCATGGGACAAGATGATTAAGCCTGAGTTGGCAGGGGATTTATCAATAACACTTACTTACATGTGTTTTGAAAACTCTTCTCCCTTACCTACCTGATAAATTTGTATTCTCTAAAAGCAGCAGCTCAGGCTTCCCATAATTTTCCCAGGCAATTTGGACATAACTTCCTGCCTTCCCTGCACTGTATATAAACCCCTATTATCTTTATCCACATCATGTCTACATGCTTATATGTAAATCATGTTAATATGTTGTGTATTATGTTAATATGCTTAGTAGACAGTAGTATGCTTTTTGAAAATCTATTTAACTTCACTGTCTTAACATAATACCTATTCCATAATGGATCCTAATAAATAGTAGGGTAAACAAATGATTGTGGTCAAGGAAAATGGCAAATCTCACGAACTTAATACATAATGATGGGTAAGGGGAATAAACAATTAAAATGTTGAACATCTTGGGCGGCATGCCAAGGGATCACAGAAGTATAATTTAGAGAAAGGTAAATTCATATTTCACTAGTAGATGGGCATGGGTACTAAGGAGAACAAATTAATATTTTGGTTAATTTTAACACAAATTCCCATGTCCCAATTGAGAACCACTTTACTACTCCAAGGGCATTAAATGTTACACTTAATTCAAGCATTTTTATCACCATCGCATTTAGCCATTTCATGATTCTGGAATATACCAACACTTTTTTTTTTATGCCACTCCAACCAGAAAGGTCGCCAAGTGGGACTCAAAATGGGATCTTTCTTGCTATTCCAGGGAGCCTCTGAAAAGAAAATCCTCCCTTCTCCTTACCCTCTTTTGAAAAGGCATTTTTTAGAGAATGGGACTTGGAGTTGAGTGTCCTTTGGCAAACATTTCTAGCTCTAGAGACCTAACAGGAACTAGGGTGGAGTCTAGTGGGAAATGAAGCCAGAAGTGAACTGCTTAAACTTGAAAGCTGAGGGTGCTTACATTTTCTAACCTGGCTCAGTAGACAATGGATAAAGAACGTAGATGATTCAGGGAAGCAGCCCTGCTGAGGAGCAGAAAGCATGCAGTTTGGCTTATGTTTCCTAAGAAACTAAGAGTGGTGATAGGAAGCTGGAGAGGAGGATGCTGTTCCAGCTACGTGAGGAAACCCCACCCTCCAGTGGTTGACAATCTGGTAAGCTAGAGTACTATAAATTTTTATTTATCTCCTTTCTCTCTAACTGCAGTGCTCATTATTCATAATTAAAACTGCATATAATAAAGAAATTCTCCAGCCTCTTTTAGGTTTATAATCAGTTATAGTGGAAAAAAAAAAAAAGAGACAAAGTTAAAAAAATGATGACCTATAACCAAGGCAAAATACAAGGGGACAAAATGATATAGAGAATAATTTCTCCTTGTATTTTCAAATTACAGAATATAACCAATTTTAATATAATTTTTAACACCAATTTTTCTTGGGGTGGTAGGCACAACTCTTTGAAAGAAAACTACATTCAGCAAAAATTAACAACTTCATTTTTCATCTTCCTTGGTTATTTACATAGTACTGCAGACCTCTGGTGTGTAAGCTGACTGCACAATTATTTCATATTATATGGATATCATAAAAATAGACTAATATGACCAATATTTTGAAAATTGGCTTAATAGACTTTTTTACTTACCCATATTTATAGGTACCTTGAACTTGAGAAATATTCAGATTACTGCTCAAGTTTCTTGCCAGAGCTGTTGGAATAATGGGGATGGGCTTCACTGGTGTGCATCTGAAGGTATTTGCTAGAGTTACTGCTGCCCAGTGTAAGTCAAAATCCACAGCATCCAGACTCTCCCTGGAAGTGATATGAGCTCTTACAGAAAGCAGTTTACCACAATCCAAAGAATCTTTGCTACATACATGGTGCTGCAGAGCCTGAGGAATAAATAGTATACAATTATTTTAAAACTTTGTAACATCTCCAAAGGTTTTATTTGATTCTGACACATGTACTTATATATTGTACACTAATAAAATTAAACAATTTGACTTACAGCATTTCAATTATCTCATTTCTTTTCTGTGAACAAAAGGTTATATGACTAATTTTGTCAAAGCAATTAAGATTGACTATATTAAGCTCCATCACATATTTCCAACTTAGATGTTTCCACAGTATTTCCAATTCTTATTGGAGAATGTCATGTCTAATAAATATTTATTGCATGGGAGAAAAATGGCTGCAAATTAACTCTGACTCAGTCCCAGAGAACTGAAGTCCATTCCTCTTTCTTTTATTACCCCGAATTGTCAAGGAGGTTCTTCTTCTGTAGTTGCTCATGCTGTGTCCTTTCTAGTCTGCCACCACTCTACTACAGGCTAATGCGCCCCTCTTTAACAACCAGCTGACTCTGCAATGGTCTCACTACTCTGACTTCATAGGTCAGCCTGCCCTATCAAGTTAACCACCCCTGATTTAACAGTATTTCCTCTTTTCAGAAACTTTCAGTGACTCTACATACCCACATGACAAAGTTCAAATTCATTAACCTGGCAGACAAGGCTCTCTATGATCTGGACAAAGTAATACTCCAGCGTGACTGCAGACAAATTCAGCAAAAATTTATGCTATTAAAGTCACCCTGATCCCTGGCTGGTGTAGTTCAGTGGATTGAGCGTGGGCTGCGAACCAAAGGGTCGCAGGTTTGATTCCCAGTCAGGGCACGTGCCTGGGTTGCGGGCCAGGTCCACAGTGGAGGCCATGCCGAGAGGCAACCACACATTGATGTCTCTCTCTCTCTCTCTCTTCCTCCCTCCCTTCCCTTCTCTAAAAATAAATAAATAAAATCTTTAAAAATAAATAAATAAAGTCACCCTGAGCAGGTACTGCACTTTGCTACCCTGGACATACTGCTTCTTGTTCTGGAACACTACCTGTACTACCTATCCAGGATTTCTGCCCTTAGAAACCAAGTTTAATTGTAGTTTAGGTAAACAAGTTATTATGAATACTTAGTATATACTGATTTATTAAAATACAACATAGCACACAGTTTAATTCTTATGTTAAGAATAATTAAGTTATCAACAAATCTCACCTTAAAAGCTGAACTGAGGTTATCTGTGTTGTGAACTATTATTTCTCTTGAACAAAGTCCATGAGTATGAACTTTGCATGGAATCACAAAGTCCTCAGGAAGAGAAGCAGTAGGTGTTCTTTCAGAGCACTCAGGTACTTCTCGACCAGGATCAAAGCGATCCACTGTCAATTTCACACTTTCTTCATCTGAAGAACAAAAACAGCAATTATTACATAGTATGCCAATTTAAAACATGAAACCAATCAAACATACATTATAGCAAAACACTGTATTCATACTAATTGTAACACTAAGCTCTTTTTTAAAAAATGACTTGCATATATATTCTTCCGCCCGACCAGACTAAAATCTGTGATGGGTAATGCCAAATTTTATTCTTTTTCATAACCTTGATATATAGCAAAGAAAATCAGCACAAGTACATTACAATAATTGGCTGAATTACTAAACATAAACTTTATTGCAGTCATAAAAATAATTTTTGGTGTATAAACTATTTATTAACAGACAAGGCCTACAGATTTACTTCTTCTTGGACACCCACAGTGCAACCCCAGTGAGCCATGGTTTGGGTGTGCTGCCCTCAAACACAAAGACCCCAGAACTGCTGCAACCCTCTGTGGGCCCTAGATTTCTTCAGCCACTCCAGGTCTTCGTGAAGCTTGCTGTCCAGGCGATTGGCCAGCACCTGGCTGTATTTTCCATTCTTCACATCTTCTGTCTATTCAAGAACCAGTCTGGAATCTTGTATCGGATGGATCCTGCATACGGTGATCATGCGTTCCATGTCATCCAGTGAGCTCTCCTGCCCTCTTGGTGAGGTTGATGTCTGCCTTCCTCAACACCACACTCTTAACTGTAGTGATGAGAAGGCTATTTTCTCTTGTCCACCAATATTGATGTTGAGTACTCACAAAATGTGCTAGAATTGCTCAGGAATCACTAAAAACAAGGCAGGAGTGCTCTGTACACCTCCTGAGGAAGAGCTCCTAAAAATAATATTTTTAAAAATATATTACCTTCATCTACTGTGAGAGAACCAAGTAAAAAGCATGGCAAGTTCTTTTTATTCTGCTTGGCATGTCGACAAGCAAGTCGGATGGTCTTTTCAGTTACCACAAGCTTTGGATTTCTGTAAAACAACAAGTGTTTTATGAAGGCAGTGGGTCTAATATCCTCAAAAAACCTCCTGCCATGAAATGCTGCCTAAAATATAACTCGCATCTTTAAAAATGTACAGAACAATCATTGTGAGGAAATCCTAGGGTCAAAGGCAGGGCACAGAGAGGGCTGCCTGGAAGTCAGGACTCCAATAAGCACATGCTGGAGTTACAGTTGTTTTCCAGGCATTTGCCTGACTTATGAACCAGAACAGAGCTTGAGAAATTATGAACCCAACCTCCTGTTTTTGTAAAGTTGGAATTAAATAGTCACATTGATTGGTTTACCTATTGTCTAGCATTAATGAATATAGAATATAAATAAATATTATCTAAATGTTTAAAGAAATATAAAAGGAACCCTAAAATATGAGCAAGAAACAAAATAATATTAAATATACTAGCCAATTAAAAACGAACTGCAAAAAACTTGTAGAATTAAAATACAATCAATTAAACTGTGCGTATATAAAATCTTTCATATATACAGTACGCTTCCACATTTAAAAAAACCTAAATGAACAGGTTAGATGGTAATTAAGCACAGCTAAAAAAGAAAATTAATAGAGTTGAAGAACAAAAGAGATTACTCAAAAAGTAGCAGAGAAAGAAAATAGAAAATATAAAAGATAAGAGACATGGAGAAAAGAATGAACAAGTCTAACAAATTGTACTTCAACAAGACTCTTTCTGTTAATGATACCCCCTTTCTCTGCCAACTGGTTTAGAACTTAAATACTTTTTGATTTGTATCTCCCCTTTAGTTCCTCTGTTCAGTATGTCATCAAATGCTAGAAATGGTTTCTTTAAAAACACCTTGTTTCATTCTTTCCTCTTGATCTCACTACTGCTCCAAACCCTTGTAATAGCTACCATTTACTGAATACTTCTTATGTTACAGGTACTGTGCCAACTGACGCTTTTCAGAGTCTGTCTCATTTAACCCTTACAAGAGTGCTATGAAACGAGTATCATTATCCCCATTTTATAAATAAGAAAACTGGCCCTTAGCCTCTTTACTGAGGTCACATAAATAAGAAATGGTAGAATCAGAACATGACCATCTAAGCTATCTAACTTCAATTATAGCACCTTAAACCACTATTGCATAAATCTATGTTTCTTATATTACAGAAAACCCTCTCATAGCTAGGCTGACTCTAGGCTCTTCCCGTTATGATCCAGCCTTAGAATTCTGCGTTTAACAAGTAACTCCCTTATATTAAAAAACTCAATTAATCTCTGTTTTCTATTACTTTAAGCCTAAGTTTCTGTGTCTTTCTTTCAAGATTCTGGCCATAACCATAATATTTTATATTCCTTCTAATATGGTCTACTCTCAAACTCAGTTCAATCTTTTCAATGCTCTACAAAGACATCATGCAGAAGCATTAAGAAAAAAACTTTCAGTGATTATTATTTTGTCTCTTGAGTTTTTATAATACTTAGAACTGTAGGTTTGCAGACTATGTTAACTGTAAAATGAAAATCATTTCTCAAAAGCATGAAGAAAGATTTTTTCAAAAAGCAGAGAGAAGATTATAAATAGAAAAGTAAAAAAAAAAGTCATAGTAATCAATTTTGCCTTAGACATCTTTCTGACTCCTGTTCATACTGGTTTGATCTGAAAAGAGAAACATCTCATACCTGTAGTAATTAAGGTGTAAATAGATGAAATCTCCAATTGGCACTGGGTTCCAAAGTGCACACTTTGATGGAGGAAAGTAAAAAGGTACCATCCTGCTTGAAGAAAACCTTAAAAAAATAGTTTCAAGTCAAAGAACAATGAAAAGCAAACTGAGTAGAAAGTTTAAAAGAAATAGTTTAAATGATGAAGCTTCTTACTGCTTTTGTTATTTTAGAAGAGTTGAAAATATTTTTTTAAAATCTTTTTTTTTTAAGATTTTATTTATTTATTTTTAGAGAGGGGAGGGAGATAGAGAGAGAGAGAGAGAGAAACATCAATGTGCGGTTACTGGGGGTTATGGCCTGCAACCCAGGCATGTACCCTGGCTGGGAATCGAACCTGGGACACTTTGGTTTCCAGCCCGCACTCAATCCACTGAGCTACACCAGCCATAGAAAGTTGAAAATATTTTTAAAACATGAAAGAAAAATCACTTGTAAGTACTAACTACTATCAAGAGAATAAGCACTCAAACTTTAGGTAAAGCTTTTTGTCCTTTTTTTTCTTATGATACCTAAATTTATACACATATAAGCTTTAAAAAAAAAAAACAACCCAGTAGCACTAATCCTATAAAATCCTATTTAAGAAAAAAACGTATATAAGCCATGAATTTACATTGAAATTTAAAATCAATTCTGTCCTTTAGAACTAATTTCTAGTTTATACCTATAAAATTATGAAAAACACAAAAACTTAATACTCTTTATTTTTCAGTTTCCAAATTTGGTATCTTGGGCCCTATCACATAAGTTAATTAATGAAGCATCAAAAGCACCTTATAAGTAATTCCTTGACACAGATCCTAGGAGTCGAATAAAGGTACCCTAAATCATATACGGTACCATCACAAAGATTTTATTTATGTGAGTAACGTAAGAAAACCGCTATAAGAAAAAGACAATGGAAAGAAAGGACAAGAGTTGCATGTAGTTAAAGCAAGAAAGCTTTGACAGTGAGCTACGGACAACGTGCCTTTGCCTGGCAGTAGACTGTTAAGTAGTTGAACTGAAAGAATATTTATCGTATCATAAACCCTCTTACTTTCTTGGATCATTTGATGAAGCTTCTCAACTAGCGCCAGTTTACTAATCACCGACTAGGTATATCAGGCATCCTACCGGGCATTTCACCTACACAGTATTTCTAAAACTGTTCCAGAAACACTTTATTGTCCACTTTATTGAAAACAAACTGTAACTTTCCTAGCTTCATGCATCAATTAAGTAGCAGAGCTGGGATTTGAAACTAAGTGTAGTTGATTTCAAAGCTTATTCTTCTAGAAGTTCAGCGGTATAGTACTTTAGAGCCCAGGTGTGAATTCTGGCTCCACCACATTCTAGCTGTATGCTTTCAAGTCCTGGCCTAATTTGAGTGCATTATATCTATAGGAAGGATGTTTAATCTGCCTGTTTTGTAATGAGAACATAATCTGAGGCTAAGAAATTTGCTCATGGTCACAAAGCTAGTAAGTGACAAACTGTCAGTGTATCTATCTATGTCTCTATATCTAACAGATAGGGTCCCGCAGAAGGCACACCTGCTTGAATGTGGTTGGTAGGGTAATAATATGGATGTAATAATTTATAGTTTTAATTTAAACTTGCCACCTAAAATTTCATATGGTATGCTTGAGTATGACATTGTTATGTTACAGAATTATATGCTTATGGTTTTATGATAAAAAAGAGGGGCGTTACTTCTGCCAGACCCCGTATTTATCATTTACCAATGGATGAAAGGCAGTAGGACGCAAGGGCTAAAAGCCAAAAGTCTGGACATCAATCAGCTGGATGGGTCTGAATCCTGGCTTCAAAATTTGCTAGTTGTGTAAACTCGATCAAGTTATTTAATGTCTCTGTGCCTCAGTTTCCTCACCAGTGAAACAGAATTAATATAAGCATCTCTTGGCAGTTATATTGAATATTAAATGAGTCAATACATGTAAAGCGCTTAGAAAAATTCCTGGCTAATTGCAAGTATTAATGTTAGGTATTTCTTTTGCTCTCAGCAGTCCATAATCCCTTTAAAGGCCAACCTACACTACTTCAGGTTTACTTCACTGCAATATAGAATAGAAATAATATCAGGTTTAAATCTTGGCTATACTACTTACCAATTGTATAACTTTGGGTTTGTTAATCTCTCTAGGGTACAAGTTTCCTCATTTAAGAAAAATAGAAGGGAATAATAATGGTATTTACAACTCATAGGTTTGTTGTGAAGATTAATTAAGAATAATGTATACAAAGCACCTGGCACTACAAGATTTTAATAAATGCTGTTTAGTCTTTTTCTTAAGGTATAAACATAGATATTGGAGGGAGGTGAAATAAAAACACCCTTAAATTGCACACAAAACTTTGCATGTATGTATATAAGTACTTTTTCTTAGGAAATGATATTCATGGCTATCAGATATTCAAAGCAGTGTGTAACCCCAAAATATTTCAAAATTGCTAAAGCCCATGGGTTACTAAAAACGAGAGGTTTCAATAAAACAAAACCCTCCAGAAAACTAGAGATGAATATGATTTTTAAAAAAACTAGAATTAAGTATACCAGGAGTAATCAGTTTAAATCACATGGGTATATTATTTTACCTAGAATATAAGGAATAAATTTGACCCAATAATAAGTTAAAAAAGAAAAAAACTTGTTGACAAATTTTCAAAGAATAAGAGGTGGCAGTAGAACAAAAAGGTCAAAATTAAGCAAAAGAAATAAGATAGCCTCTTTGGGTCATGTTTCCCATTGTCTTGATCAAAAGACATCTGGTACAAAGAAAAGCAATACGAAGAATAAAGGTAACTCATGGATGCAATCCTAGTTTAGATGAAAAAAATTCATATGTCAGCACTAATTGTTCTTCCTTAGAGGAAAAAAAGAACAATAAAGGATCCAAAGAAGCAAATAACACAGATAATTTAACGGTCCCCTTTTTACTGACAGACTGAGAAATCAGGAAACAGATGGCAAGCTCCTCCTTCCTACCCCATATGAGTGGGAAAAGGCTTAAGGATATCTAAGGAAACTAGGTATATCCAATCTGAAATTTTTACCAGCAAGGAATTAGGGTTTAGAAGAGGAAGAGAATCCAACCACTTTCCCACTTTTAGCCTTAATAGTTCAGGTACTATTTCCATCAATAAAACGATCCTTGCCCTGGCCAGGCAGCTCATCCCAATACAGCAAGGTTGTAGGTTCCATCCCCCATCAGGGTACATAGAAGAAATCAATCAATATATGCATAAATAAGTAGAGCAACAAATTGATGTCTCTCTCTCTCTCCTTTCCTCTCTAAAAATCAATACATAATTTTTTAAATATGCAAAATAGGCAACAACCTAATTTTAAAAAATCTTCTGTTAAACTAAAATAAGGAAAGGAGGGAATGAAATGAAAATTTACCAAGTGCCTATATTTAACCCTTCACAAAAATCTTCTGTTAGATAGAAATTACTATCCCCAACTTACAGATGAAGAAACTGAGGATTAGAGAAGTTAATTAACTTGATCAATGTCACCCACCTAATAATTGGCAGAGCTGAGATATGCACCCAGATTTTTCTGATTCTAAAGTTTTTTCTCCTTCTATTCCAATATACCTTCCCAAGTTATGTGAGCGATTGTGGGGAAAAAATTATATAAAAAATATTTCTATACCTGGTATTCATCTGGGACACTGCAAGAGGATATGGAGGCTCCATGATAGTTGGTGAATGATTTATTCAATTTCAAATGCTCAGTATCCTAAAAAAGAGGATATTACTAATGAGTGACACAAATAAAAAATAAGAAACATGATTTAACCACTTATTAACAGACAAAATTAAATTACAGACAAAATTAGGTTACTTATATAAAGTGTTTTCATCTATAGATTAATAAGATAAAATCCTTGTGGGTTCCAATTATTTTCATACTTTATAGTCATTCTGCCTACAAATTAATATTAATATTTATCCTAGGCATCAGACCCTACCAATGTATCTATTCATTAAGGAAAGCACAGATTCTGCCCCAAGATCATTATATCAACTAAGTGAGCTGGATATGTCAGGTAGTATTTAATATATAAGATTTTGACCAAAAGCTGCAAAATATTTTTTAAAAACCCACAAGGCATAATTTGGGTTAGATGTTTATTGGGTCTACAATGATCAATGAACCTTCATCCTTGTGCATATGGAAGGTAAATACTGCATCCCCACAAACTGATTTGAATCACTGCAAAATCAGTGGTCTCTTTTGTTTCCACCAGCCCTCTATGGGTAGTCTCATCACTCCCATTGTTTCCACACCCATCTGTGTACAGCAAACTTGCAGCTTTCACCTCTCTTCTGAGTTTCAAACCCATTTTTCTAATTACATACTGGGTATCTACATTTAAATATTATTGAAGCAAAATACAGACCTCTAAGTCTTTTCTTTACAGTTCGGTATTTCTTATATTCTTTTATTTTTGCCTTAAGAGTTTTTTTGGCCCTATACCTTCCATTTCAATTCTAGCAAAAAGGAATTGTCAAAATTAAGATAAGTGTGGAAAGAGTTAATAATGCAGGTGCAGAAGTCATTTAGAAGAGATTTTTTAAAAAGATAAAGTCAGAGGCTGAAAACATTTACAAGAATAAAATCCTATTGAAAGCACCCTTGTAAGGTTGACTTAAAAGTCCTTCTTGGAGGTATGTGGACTTCATGAAGAGCTCTTTGGATGCAGGTTTTAAAATCTAAAGCCTTTCTGTGCTGCTTGGTTGTCATGGGTGACAGTATTCAGCTCCTTGATCACTGTAACCCTAAGAAGTATACAGAGTGCCATTTTTCTTCATTAAACAGAGGAGGTTTAAAACTCCATATATGTCTCTTCTTTCTTTATGACTTAGGGTAAAAAATATAATGTTGATCCTTTCTCATTTAAAATGATACACATGAGACAGTTTGTTCTGACAGCATCATGCAAGCAATTAAAGCCAATGAAACCAAAACCACATAACACCTATACCTGGAAAAGCTAGGAGGTATCATGTACCAAATAGAAATCATCAAATCATCCTTACCTCTCTTTCCTCCTTCTTCCCTCATAAAATTTCTGTGTTTCCATCTCCACTTAGTTCCTGACTTCATCGACTAACCAGGCTTACTGTAAGTCCCCACAGTTTGCTAAGTTACTTCTATATAAATCTGATTTAATTATTCTCTTGCTTAAAAAGTTGATGGCTCTTCCATACATACAGAATAAAAAACAATCACAATCTGGTCCGTCTTGTTCCAACTTTATCCCTTATCCACTCATCCTACATCCCAGTCAAACTGAATTACTTGCATTTCCCCGAGTTTGAGTATCTGCACAGGCTGTCCCCTTTACTAACAATGCTTGGTAAACCCCCATCATCCTTCGCAATCCAACTCTAATATCACTTCCTCTGTGAAACCATATCCTGGACACCATGGTAATGTTATTTCTGCCTGTGTTCACACACATCGCATTTTCAGACTTGCTTGTTTACACATTACTTACAGTAGAACTCTAACTTCAAACATTAACCGATCCTTTACTATGTAGCTGACTGAGCTAGATAATGTGAAGAATTCAAGATCGAGCATAGAACGGTTCAGTTCTCCAGAAATTTTCACAGTGAAAACAACTACAAATGGCATGTTGTCGACTGAAAACCTCTTTCACATACCTAAGCAAAGATGATTCTCAAGGAATTCGTGGTCCACTTATTTCTCCCATTAGTTCCCCTTCGCGCCATCAATCCAGGCTCCTGGAGGGCTGAACCCACTACGGGGCCTTGAACGTTACCCACCGTCCTTTCCCGGTCCCCACTGCAGCCTCCTACTGAAAGCCAAAGCATAAAGTGCAACTCACCGCAACCTCCGCCAAGCCCAGGTCTGTTTGTTAAGCCGGAACAGAGATAAGCTCCAAGGAGCACCTCCACCGACCCCGCCCTGGGACGTTGGGGTCGCGGGAACCCAGGCGGCAAACACTAGCTGGTGAAACCGAAGCCCGCGCCTCGCCTGCTGACTGGTCAGAAATCCGACCCAACAGGGTGCAGGGTGAATACAGGAGGTTTCACCTAGTGTCTCTTGACGGGCTGGTACGCCAGCCAATCAGTGCCCCGCACACGGGCAGAGCTAGGCCAATCCCAAGCCTCCTTGGAGAAACGAAGGCGACCCTGGCGTTCCGGGATCAGGTTCCGGAGGATTTAAACACTTAATTTTTTTCGTCAACGGTTAAGTTCCGGGATAGGGCGGGCCTTGCCTACGCAAAATGAAAACCGCAGCTTGCCAGAAATGCGCAAAGCAAAGGAAGCGATTGCTCCTTTTTGTGATCGCCCGGTCGTTGCTCCAAGAATAGAAGAGAGTGAAATTCTTGACTTGAATGGGCAAAAGAGAGGGCAAGTTAGACTTCTTTCAGTTTCTTTCCTAAGAAGCGTCCTCTCTTCTCAATAACAAACGTTTTTAAAAACATTTCTTTGTATATATCCGTGACTGATGTGGTTGGTTGTTGGGCCTCCCCCCGCAAAGCGAAAGACCCGCCAGGTTCTGTTCCAGTCGGGGCACCTGCCTGGGTTGCAGTGGGGCGCATCCCCTCCCCATGTGTATGAGCGGCAACTGATGGATGTTTTCCTCTCACATCATGTTTCTGGCCCTCTCTCTAAAAGTAAATAAATATTTTTAAAAATTCCTTTGTACATAGTCCTGGCTGGTGTAGCTCAGTGGATTGAACAAGGCCTGTGAAGCAAAGGGTCGCAGGCTGGATTGCCAGTCAGGGCACATGCCTGGGTTGCAGGCCAGCTGCCCGTTTAGGGGGTGTGTGCGAGGCAACCACACATTGATGTTTCTCTGCCTTTTTCTCTTTCCTTTCTCCTCTCTAAAAAGAGAAAAATAAAATCTTTAAAATTTTTCTTCGTACATAAAGGGCATATGGTATAAATATACATGGCATATGTATATATGTGGCATACGGTATTAATATTGGTGTAATAACTTGTAAGCTCCACAACTATTGTTGGTAACTGGGCCTTCTCGGCTCTTGTCTATTACTGTCCTGTCAAAGTAGAGAGGAATAATCCCTAATCAACAAGGGAGGAAACTTAAGATACTACACAGCTAGTGAGTACAGAGTCAAGATTTGAAATGCCACTTACTTTCCTCTAGAGTCTACTTTTGTTAGTTTACTGAGTAATATGGGAGTGCCTTGAAGTCTGAACTGCGTTTGTAGACTGTCTTGTTTTGAATGTGTCCATCGTTTTGACAGAGTGTAAATGTATGAAACTAGCCATGAAATACATGCTCCACAGAATGTCATTCTCTACTTTCCTGCAAAGATTCCTGGGCACACATTTTAAGGGAAATGATGGGCAGTTCCTCAGCTCTGGTTTGAGAGCAGGAAAAGCCTCAGACAGCAATGCACGTGTGACAAAGTGTTGGCCAACTCAGTGGGGAGCTCTGGACATTAGAGGAGCCCCACAGTAGTTAGAAATGGCTAGAACTCTTGCTGTGCTCAATAATAGTCTGAGGTTTCCTGAAAGAGCAAGCACCAAAGCTAAGGCAGATCCTAAAGGCCAGCAAGAGGCAGTCAGGCAAGTGTACTCTTTGCAGCTGATTGGCAAGTTCTTTCAGGAGAGAGGTACAAGTCACACACCCTTGATGGATGCAAAGACCCTGGGATGGGAGCCTCTTGGCATTTTTAAGAAAAATCATGAAGACTAGTATGTGCTGGGCAGAGTGAGTGAGGAGAGGATTATCAAGAGTTGAAGGGCTCCTATTTGTTTTGTTTTGTTTGGAATAAATGGAATTAGTCATTTAAAAAAAAGAGTTGAAGAGGGGAGGAGGTGTTGGTAGATCATTCGGGTTCTTCTAGGCCATGATAAGGACTTGGCTGCATTCTTGAGTGTGATAGGAAGCCATTTGAAGATTTTAAACAGGGAACCAATAAGATCTGATTTTTGGTCTTAAAAAGACTACTGTAGTTGCCCCACTGAGAATAAACTGGAGAGGCAAGGGCAGAAGTAAGGAAACTAGTTAGAAGGCTACTGCAAAAACCTAAGGGAGAGATTGATGGTGGCTTGAACCAGAATGGTAGCAATGAAAGTTGCTGAATTCTGGATGTATATTGCAGGTAGAATCAGCAGGATTTGATTAAAGATTAAATTAGAATGTAAAAGAAAAAGACCTTGTGTGGGCCTTCTCTGTCATTATATGAAGGTCCTAATCCTCAAAGCAGAGAAGTATTGTATTATCCCTATTCAACAAGGGAGGAAATTTAAAAGATCATACAGCTAGTTCATGTAGAGTCAGGATTTGAAATGCCACTTACTTTCCTCTAGTTTTATTTAGAACCACTTTAAGATATCTGAAAGGGAAATTAAGATGATACAAATTAGACAAAAAAGAAGGGATGAGCATAAAACGTAAGTCCCTACTCCTTGGGTGTGGGCTGGGCATAGTGACATTCTTCCAAAGCAAACAGTATGGAAGGGTGGGAGCAGGGAGAATAACTTTACATTGGGGAAGTCTGTCCAACAGTGCTTCAGCCACGTAATCAAGGCCAACATTAATAGTCATGAGTCATGTTGATAGTATGTACACTCATGCTGTGATGAAAATGGCATATTATCTCTATAATCTTCTTTCCAATAACCTATAACCTCAGTCCTAAGAAAAACATCAGACCAATCCCAGTAGTGGGGAATACTATAAAATACCTGACCTATACTCAAAATTGTCAAAGTTATTAAACCAAGAAAAGTATGAGAAACTAGCCACGAGGCACCTGAAGTGATAAGACAACTAAATGTAATGTGGTATCATGGGTGGAATTGTGGAACAGAAAAATGACACTAGGTTAAAAACTAAGAAAATCTAATAATCCAAGGACTTTAATTAATAATATTGTACCAATACTGGTTTGTTAATTGTAACAGATGTACCATACTAAATATGTTAATAGGAAAAGCTGTATGTATATGGGGTATATGGGAACTTTGTATTACAATCTCATTTTTTCTATAAATCTCAAACTTTTCTAAACAATAAAGTCTGTTAAAAAGAAAAAAAGAAAGCCCTGGCTGGTGTAGCTCAGTTGATTGAGCACAGGCTGCAAACCAAAGGGTCACCGGTTTGATTCCCAGTCAGGGCACATGCCTGGGTCAGGCCAGGTCCCCATTAGGGGGATGTGAGAGGCAATCACACATTGATGTTTCCCTCCCTCTCTTTCCCCTTCCATTTTCCTCTCTCTAAAAATAAATAATAAATGAAATATTTTAAAAACATATTAAAAAGAAAGAAAAAAGAGGCAAGAGGAGAATTGAAGCATATGCTATATTTTTAACAACACAATAAAATATCTTATTGTTGTTTAATAATAATAACTCACATACCAAAAAAGAACTTTAATTAAACATATCACTACTATTGGACTTCTAGACAGGATATATACTTAGTGCTATGCATAGAATAAATGCTTTTTTAATTGAATGAAGATAAAAGTAGTCTTCATTTTAGGATTGGAATGACTCAGCCTTATATTTAGTACAGCCTGGACATATCTAAAGGGATTATTTTCTAGATATTAAACATTTTTAAAATTATGGTATAGTGTAACTAGAACTGGCTTTGGGGATCTGGCCCCAAATTCTGCCATTAAATCTCTCTAAGATTGATTTTTTTTCCTTCACATATTATACATTATCATAAAAAAGACTGAATGCATAAAGAATATAAAAGTTAATTTAAAACTGCCCATATGTTATTAGTGCAGATGTACTAACGATTGGCATTGTTAATAAATGAGCAACACATTGCTGTAAATTCACAGAGATTAAGGGAATTAATTTGTTAATTACAAAGAGAATAAGCTTAGTAAAATAAAATCTACAAATGCTATGCCAAGGACCCGCTACACACTAAGTTTTGTGCTAGATGGAAAGGAGAATTGGAAGTATATAGCAAGCACAGAAGAAGGAAGGAACAACTTTACAGACAGGGTAATAAGAGGCAATTATCCAAAGCAAATATGAATTATTGTTAGATTGCTGGCCACTTTAAATAGATTGACTATATGCTATGCTATTCTTTGCTCCCTGTTTATATATATTCATGTCAGTTCAGGACACTGGAATTGTTATGGCTGTTGGCCCTAACAGTGAAAAGCTACCAGTCTTATTTTTCAAATTTGCAAGTGTTTTAATTTTCTTCACAATGAACCATTTCCAGTGTGTTATACTTTTTAAAGTACGAATTTGTTGCACAAACAATGCTATAAGAAAATATTGCAAATGGAAAAATGCACCCAAAATTCTACATCGTAACACATCAACTGTCTTCATTTTTTTTTCATTTTCCTTTTTAGTCACTAAGTGACATGATCTTTATGATTAGACCAGATTAATGTTCAGTGTTATAAATGCTGATGTGCCTTTTAATAGGCTGACTGTGGGAATTAAAGAGCTATTGTTATCACCGGGAACAGGGAAGTTGGAATTAGTTATCAGTTTTGCTACTCATTTACTGAATTTCTCCAAACACTCAACTTTCCCTCCCTCTATTTACACTTTTGAGCTAAGCTGGACTATTGCTTTCTAAACACAAGTACAACTTCACTTCACTTCGTTGCACATCGCTTTGATGTTCATTTTGTTGAACATCATTATTTTTTTTAAGATTTTATTTATTTATTTTTAGAGAAGGAAGGGGGGGAGAGAGAGAGAGAGAGAGAGAGAGAGAGAGAGAGAGAGAGAGAGAGACATCAATGTGTGGTTGCTGGGGGTTCTGGCCTGCAACCCAGGAATGTACCCTGGCTGGGAATCGAACCTGGGACACTTTGGTTCCCAGCCCGCGCTCAATCCACTGAGCTACGCCAGCCAGGGCTTGAACATCATTATTTTTAAGGGTGATTGCCAGTCTTTCAATTAATGCAAAATTCCTTTGAGATTCTTAAGCCTCTCATTAGAGGTAACAATAACAATTTATGAATTAAGTAATGTTGACTTATTTTACTTATTTTTTAAAGCTTGGATTGTTTGGAATAA